AGTTGTTGGGAGCAGCACTGGAGCATCACTTCTTGGGGATAAGCAGAATTGCCTCAGCCGGGGTGGTCACTTAGGCTGCTAATGGCACCAACTGCCTCAAAACCATGTTCTGTGAATTTGAGATTATCCAAGACAGGTCTGGTTTGCAGTTAGAGAGCTGAGAAAAAGCACTTATTTCTCCGAGAAGTGGTTATTTCTGTTGGCTTCGGGGTAGGAGTGCAGCAAACCCCCCTCTTTTCTGGGGAGACAGGGACAGGATTTGGAAATCCCTACTGGAGCCAGCAGCAGCCCCTCAGTTCAAAGCTCCTTTCTTTAGGCCTTGAATTCTCGGCCATAAAGTCTCTGAAGAGGTTTTGATAACTCGTCTATCTTTTAGATAAGCAAAGCTTTGGATGAATCCCACACGGCCCTCTATCTACAACAAGTCCTCATTTGTTTTCCGCCGAGGCACTCGCTGGTTTTCCTCTCCAAGGTGTTGGGCAGAAATGTCAAGAGGCTGAAGGGACGGGACAATTTTTCTCTTTCTTTCCTAAGTGCTGGGGGGCAAAGCAGTTGAGGGAAAAACTGAGTGATAACTGAGTGAGGCAGGTTTTTCTCATGGGAGCTGTAGGTTTACCACTTATGTGACAAAAAGGAAAGGCAGAGAGGAAGGACAGATGAAAGTTCACCCTTGCAAATAGTTGAAGCTGAGGGAATTTTAAAGCAGCAAATTCATTGTATTTTAATCTGCAGAGACCAGACTGCAGGACCTTCAACTAAGCAAACCTGTGATGTGAGTCTGGAACAAAGTGCAGAAGCAGAGCCTAAAGAAAGACATTTTTGATTTCTGTGAGGCCTTTCTAGACAGCCTTGTCCAGGGAAAACTTATGAGAGGGAAGGGGAAGAGAAAAGAATTGGAGGAGACAGTGACTGGGGAGAAGATTTCCTGAAATGAATCAGAAGGAAACAGCCAGAGCCTCTCGCGGTAATGCTGCACATCCCACGAGCTCCTCACAGGCAGCCAACAGCCCAGAGACAGCCAGTTATGCCCAGGTTATTTATTTTTCGCACTTTGGCAGCGTCACAGATGTAATGTTTCATTAAAAAAAAAAAAAATAGAAAAATTGTATCTTCTTTTATCTGCGGCAGAATACAAAGCAAGAAGCAGCTTCCTAGAGCAGCCAGGCAGAAGGGAGCTGGCAACCTGTGCTGGGTCAGGAGGGGAGGAAGATTAAAAGGAGATGGGATTTTTGCTTTGTCCTTCACGGAAGACTTTATCCCCTCCAGATACACAACAGAAGCTTTCTCTCCCTTGGAGGTTGGCCGGCAATGGCCTTCCTGCCTCTCAAAGCTGCTCCTGGGTCATGCACAGGGCAAGCTCTGAGCGGCACAGCCCCAACACCCTCAGCCCCCTGCTCCCCACACAGCCTGCCCCTGTCCCGGCTTCCTTGGGTGGCACTCATCCCTGTGCCAGCCCTGGCGTCCCGCCCGCTGCAGGGCGACGCCGATCAATTAGCGCACGACAAATGATTAAGCTGATGAATGTCTCTTTTTCCCCTGCTTGCTGGCTGCACTTGCCACGAATTTACGCCCAGTATATGACTGAATTTATTCTTCGCTGCTTTGCAGCATTCGAAAGAGGCCTTTAATGATTTCTTTTAAGCTCTCCAGCCTGACTGTGAACGGCGCAGGGCAAATACTCATTATTTCCTATCTAAGCAGCAGCGCTGATTAGCCGGTGGTTGGTCAGATAAGTCACACTGCTCCGTTCCCCGCTCGCTGCCGAAAAACACACAAGGTCATTCCCTGCTAATGCAGAGGGAAAACATGGGATAAGCGACTGCTGCCTGCGAGTCCCTTGTGCATTTTCAGGGCAGCAAAACAGGAGCGTGGAAAATCCCACATGAAGAGGGCTCAGAATTAAAGGCAATGTGGGTTGAAGCGTTTTGCTTCCAGGCAGCCTGTTCACAGCACTGCGTGCAGCTGAAAGTGTGCTTGGGAGGGTAGTGGGACTGCAGTGAAACTTAAGTCTTGACAGTTTGCGGACACTAAAGATCTGAAGCCAGCTCTTACTCGACTGTTAACTCCTGAATCTTCACATGGTGCAATGTTAATCTTCAGCCCTTTCCTAAAATAATGTGCCGAGTTGCTATGTTCTGTTAAATGTGAACCATGTGTCACCTCAGCGATGGCTGCGGCGGGGAAAACATGATAAATCTAAAGCTTTTAAAATGTCCTGTGACATTCTGGGAGGAAAAACAGGTGTTGCATAAATGTTGGACATTTATGGGTAAACTTGCAGGGCCTTTAAAAGACTGACACATCTGCCACATAGTATGTAACCCTGAAAGAAAAGGAGCACAGCAAGTCTCTTTCATGTGTCTCACTCTTTCTACAACCGTATGAAAATACATCCTCATCTGGTATTGGAATTAACAGAGCTGGACTTGCCCCTCCCTATGTCTCCTCCAGGTTTTTGGCTTTTACACCCGATGTGTATTTTAAAACTGTGCCTTTTTAAGTAGGTGGCAAACTGTGCTGGAAGGATTTGGTATGCGGAGTATTTTTATTCAGCTCCCTTTTCTCTCACCTTTCATTGTTTTTCCCTTTGGAATATCTCCTGTATCGCTCCACTCATAAACCTCTTCAAAGGGAGGGCTGTATTTGAACAGCCTTGCCTGAAATCTGGTCTCAGTCAAAGGCCTCAGACGGGAAAATAACTCGCAGAGCCAAGCCCCACGGCCCCACGGCTGCTGCCGCAGGTGTCGGCGGCTGCTTTGCAGGAGCGAGGTGCTGCCTGCTGCCTCTTCGGCTCTGACCCCACAGCCCCCCTGACTGGGTTATTGTTCCCCCCTTTACCCTATAAATGTAATAAACTGGGACTTAGCATCTCGCTTTTAGTGTGGAAGGTCTAAGGAGAAGGTGGTGGTTTTTTTCTCGCTCTCCCCCACCCCCCCAGTGTCTCATTCAGCACCTGCAGTGTTGTTGGTGTTTTGGGAGAGAGGAGATTTTGGAAGCTGAAAGTGTGTTGGGGAAGCTCAGCCCTGTGATCTCTAGGATAGGTGTTCCTAAATTACCAGCTAGGGCAAGTCTCATTCCCCCAGTCACAGTGATTCAGCTCCCAGTGAAGTCTGTGAAAGCAGAACTTACTTCCAAAAAGCTACAGGACCTCCCCCTCCATGAGGAAAATCCATCAGACGTGTGACCAGCTGCCCGTCTCTGACCATTTGCCCTTTGCATCAGGCAGTTTTAGCACAGAAACCAGTAACCCACTGGGCTACAAAGTGCTTCTCCTCCCTGGGAGGTCATTTCATTTCTGGGTGGCAGTGAAGCCAGCAGATATTTTGAGCGTGAGTCGCCTGGCTGGTAAGTGTTCACGACTCTGTGCAGATCCTACTCTGCCTCAGCTCCCTGCTCAGCAATAAATTCTGCTCCCAAACCTTAATCCTATCCCTCTCCCCCCCAGTTCAGCTCTCACATCCCTTGTGTTTCAGTTCCATCCCCACCCCAGCAGTACTTTGTGCCCTTAGCTCCTGCCTTGATGGGGCTGGTTTGGGTCGGTCTCCTCCCAGGCACCTCACTTCCCCTCCTCTGCCCCTGCTTGGGATTTTTCATCGCCTGCTCTCAAGCCCCAAGGCAGTGAGATAAAGTTTCCCAGGCAGGCTGTTTTGGGAGGAGAAGACCTACACCATGCTGGGCTACCGGGCACTTCCAGCTCTGCCCTCCTGGCTGGTGGGAGGTCAGTGAGCAAGCTGTGCTTGCCGTTGGGCTGCTCCTCCCCAGGAGGTGGAAAATCAGCCAGAGATAGGAATCTCCTCTTGGAGACAACTGAAGATGAGCCACTGCATGTCACCCCACTCATCTCTGCAGAGGTTGTTTGAGCAGGGAGCCTTTTGTGGGCCCTCCATGCCCTACTCCACCTGTGGGGAACAGAGGAGCTCACCTGCCTGTGCTTCCCTGCACACGACTCCCAGGTACCCTCTCAAAAGCAACACAGGGGAATATTTGTAAAAAGAAAAACAAACAAACAAACAAACAAACTACCTCTTCCTCTGTGTATTCCCCAGTGGAGAAATTCACTCCTTCCACTTGCCAAGACACGTCCATCCCCCTTCCCCAGTGTTCCCAGATGGGCCAGAGACAGCCCACAAAGCTGAACCAAGAACAAGAATCCTCCAGCCAAAGTTGGTTTATAAAGGAACTGCTCCCTGCAGAGGACCTTCTTCCTCAGTTGGGTGACACAGATGGTGTCATAGGCTGAGCCCAAGCTCCCTCAAGTTTGGTTGTTTATTAACATGTATCACTTAATTAACGTAGCTGGATTTTCATTCTGTTCTGCACTAAAAACTTGAAGATGAGGTAAAATATTCACAGGGCAGAGAAAAAAAAAATTTGCTTTCTTTTATTTGGAAACAAATTCAGTGGTTAGAAACATATGAAATGCTGTACTGCTCCAAGCCACAAGTTCTATCACTCCAGTCACCATCTCTAACGTGGTCAGAAATGGGTGCTAAAGAAGCATAAAAAAGGGGGATGGGTGGAGGGACCCTTTCCCAGGCTCAGGCAGTCAGTGGTTTAAACATTCCTGCGCCAGAAACTGCATCCAGATCACAGTGTTTAATAGCCACTGACACAGCAACCCTCCACAAATAGGCCTATTCTTTTTTTGACTTCAAATATATTTTTGTTCTTAATAATACTCTGTGGCAATGCATCCTATCACTCAAACACACACTGTGCCAGTAAGGACGTTCTTTCATTTGTTTGGATCTTGCTTCCAGGAAATTACCACTTCACCCCCTTGTTGCTGTGTGATAAAAACCAGTGGATTTTACTTTCCTAAGAATCCTCCCTACGTTAAATAATGATTTTATAGGTCTCCGTTACTAACTTGTCTCCTTTTCCAAGGTTCTTGTCTGTGTGGTCTCTGTGCAGAAGATATTTCCATTTCCACTCAGCCCTGCTGCCCTGCTCCACAGCCTGCTGGAGGGATGGGTGAAAAGAGGAAGGGGAATCCCTACCTTTTTGGTCTTGACTGTTGAGGCGCAGCAGTCCCCACCATCGTAGTTGCAGAAGGCTCGGTTGTTGATGGAGTCACAGTAGTTGTCCCCCATGAAAGGCTGAAAAAGGAAAAAGCAGGAAAAGACTTAGACCCCATGGGCATGGATAAAATGAGCACCTCCCCTGTGGAGACAGGATGGGAAGGTTGGGGCTGTTCAGTCTGGAGAACAGAGGGAATGTTCATCAGGAACTGTGGTGAGAGGACAAGGAATGGTTTCAAACTGAAAGAGAGGAAGTTTAGGTTAGATCCATGGAAGGAATCCTTGGCTGTGAGGGTGGTAAGACACTGGCACAGGTTGCCCAGAGAAGTTGTGGCTGCCCCTGGAAGTCCCTGGAAGTGTTCAAGGCCAGGTTGGACAGGGCTTGGAGCAACTGGTCTAGTGGATGGTGTCCCTGGCAGGAGTGTTGTAACAAGATAATCTTTAAGGACCTTTCCAACCCAACCCATTCTATGATTCCTTAACTCTAAAACTTGTAACACTATTTCAGAAGGAAAACAGGAAGACTTGAAGGAGCCATATAGTTTGTAACATTACCAACTGCCCTGAAAAAACAGATATAATTTTTCCCCTTTCCCTCCAAAGCAGACAGAAAAAAAAAAAAAAAAAAAAAAAAAAAAAAAAAAAAAAAAGGACAGTAGATGGAAAGGAAATGAGCCCTTGTTGGCTTTTCACATCCCACATAAGAGGATGCTTCAGGAATATTAATTTGACTAGACCCAGAGACAGCATCCAGGCATCTAAAACTGTGGCACCTTTGATAATTTTAAGCTAACCTTCCAGAACTGTGTGGGATAAGAAGAAGGTTACGTATCACAGCAAAACAGGCTTGCTTTTAATAGCTGTGCTTTTCACCACAGTTCTCCCAGCTACGCAACACGTGTCAGCAACGAGGGCACAAAACAAATCACAAAGAAAAAAATGGAAGTAGTCTGAGCTCAGCACCAGGGACCCTGTGCTCCTCTTCTCCAACCAGCAGGGACTGTGTGTGACCTTGGCCATGACACATAATCTTCCTCCACTCCACAGCTCAGAGCTGGGATAGTGGCAATTATCCAGAGGGGCATTGTGGAGAGCTCTGAAGTAAAATTCATAAATCACCTCAAAAAAGAAAATGTGGTTACTAGTCTGTGCAAGGGGATCACTGGTCCATGTGCTGCACAGGACCTGAACAACAACCATGACTCTGAAGGAAAGGCTTGAAGTCTGGTCTTTCTTTACACATTTACACCTCGCAGTCAGCAAGTACAGAAGTCTTTCTTGGAAGTCAAAACTGTGCCCGATGGTAAAAAAGGTCCCCTATGAGAATCCCAGGCAGCAATGAGTGGTCAGAAAAATGAGTGCTCAGCAGAGGGCCCGGTCATAGCTCTGTAACCCTTCCTAAACTCACAGGCTCATGGGGCCATTGCCACTATATCTGCTCTTTGGAAAATTTGTTTATTCCTCACTAAGGAAATCACCAGGAACTTTCCTACATGAAGGCATCATTGCAGAGCAGGTGGAGTGTCTTGTGGAGGTTTCCTGGGAGGATTTTGCAGCAGCTGCAGTACCAGAGTCTCCCTGATGATGGATACCTGAAGAACCAGCCATGAGAGCTTGCTGTGCTCTCCCCAGGGCGAGCCATAGCTGTGCTCATCAGTGTTGAAATGGACTCTCTGGAGTGGTGCAAAGGCACACTTTTACTGCTGATGTGTTGCAGATTTAAATATTTCTATCAGGTACAGGAAATCCATCCAGCAATGGCAATATCAAACCACAGCAGGACTACCAGCAGGTGACTGATTCGTTGTGTGACACTTGTTTATTTCCATGCAAACATGGCAAATGTTGACAAGGAAATCAGAGTTACAGCATAAGGCTCCTGTCCCTTTAAACTGCCTTAACTCCACTTATTTCCACAGATATTGACTTATTTATACAGGCAAAGCCTTTGACTTCCAAACACCCTTCCAATTTAATTAATATGCTAAGAGTTAAAAGGGAATGATTTATAAATAGATGAAGAGATATTTTGATGCCAGCATGGTCATATTTAAAACCATGAACTTTGCCCAACCTCCCAGGAAATTTTGTAGGCTTCTCCATGTTTCCTTTGTGTTGCCTGGCTGTGTCTGCTTGTCGAGAAAAGCTTGACTCTAATTTTCCATGCCTGTGCCTGTACCCTACACCTATGAATGCTGGAAAATCAGTAAAAGAAGCTCGTGGAAGAGTTTGCTCTGGCACAGACTAGGCAAGCCAGTCCTTTGGAGGGGAAGAGTAGGACAAATAGCATCTATTCTGATTTGGGTCCAAAATCCTCTTTTGGGAGACCCTGGCTGTGGGGGGTGAGGTCTCTATAGCTCTTCCTGCACGTCTTAGTGCTCTGATATTTTTGAAGGACTACACAGGCAGTCCAGAGGGACTTATTTTCTACTGAAACACCTAAGTTAGGTGCCGAGAAGTACGGGGCTGACTCATAAACCTCTGTTCCTGCCACTAGGGAGCGACAAAAAATCACATTGCAGCAGCAGCCGGGGTTCCCACTGCGATCACCAAGAGTCAAATAATGCCCCACTTACAGCCTCCTGCTCAGGGAACCCTCCCTAATGCTAAGGATGTCCACACATTAGGGACTGTATCAGCTTAATGGCCCAGTATGATTGAGCTACTGGCTTATTAGTCGCTGTTTCCATAGTCATGGGAAGAAAAAAAAAAAAAAAAAAAAAAGGCTTGGTGAAGATGGCATTTCTTCTGAAATCTTAATGCCAGAAAACAAGCTCTGGCCCATCCGTGGATCCTGGAAGCATCATAGTCTAAAAATGATGCTAGAGGCCATTATCAATTGTCTGGGCAAAGCCTTCCAAGATGATAGATTGTGATGCAGTGACACTGCTGAATGAATGTTGAAAAGAAGAAAGTTCCTATTGATGCAGAGGGCTCTGGCAATTAGCAGTGATGGAAGGGAAGAAAATGCTGAGAAGAAGCATGTCAGTAATAATGGCTTCTGGTAAATTATTACATCATTGCAAAGTTTGCCTCTGTAACAACTATCCTTAAACAGCAGGAGAATGGATACCCAGTGGTGCATCAGCACCTGAATGGCATTTCTTAATGGTCTCTGGATGTTATTTCAGCTCTCTTTGGAGAATGGGGGCTCCCAGCCAGCCTGCATGAAAGCGATGTGTGAGAGGGCTTATGACATTCAGAGCACTGACAGCAGAATGCTTTTCATTTAGGGAACAACTAGACAGAAACTATTACATTGTTGGAGAGTTATTACCCTCTTGGGCCCAGCATTTGTATGCGAAGGAAACCTGTCTTTCACTTCAAGACAAATCCCATCGCTCAGCAATGTGGTCTGGAGCTTTGTGTCAGATTTAGGAATTCAGTCCCATGTGCTGCCACTTTGGGCAAATAATTTCAGTGGGCCTGTAAAACTGGGTTACTGGGTGCTGAGCGCACGGTCAGTGCAGCAGAAAGTCAGGAGACGAGGGGGGAAGACACAGCCATGCCACTGCCTGTCCCTGGAACCAAAGCAGCCAAGTGTCCCTCTGCCTGTGAGCTATCCATCTCAAAAGTGGGATTGGAGCTTCCCAACTTTACAGAGGTACCACAAGGATTGGCTTCTTGACACGGGTGAGATGCTCAAGGGCTGGCACAATGGGAACCCCAGGAGTGCCATGATCCAGACAGAGGTGCTCCAATCCTGTTTAACCACTGGAAGCATCTTAAGTCTTCTCAGGCTTTTCAGACTGCTGCCAGCAGAAACATCATCCTTCAAAATAATTGCTTTCTTCAAGTAACACACAAGACTATAAAATTGTATCACAGATGAAATGTAACTGTGTGTTTCTGATTATTTTTTTCTGGTTCAGATAGAGGTTCAGGGGAGGGATGTGCTGTTTGCTCACTGTCCAGCTGTGCTGTCCACCCAGTGGTCTCATTTCTGTGTCTGGTTTCCCTAAAGTTTCTCTGCACACACCAATGCCCAAAGCTTAACTGCCCTTGGAAAGAATTGCCCCTCTAATAATATGTCAAAATCAAGGACAAACAACTGAAAGTTTTTGCAACTTCCCAGAAATTCCCAGATTCTGGGAAATTCTTTTGGTCTACCAATTTTTTTTAGCTGCTTGATCGTTGTAACTCTTGTGAGAGTCACCCAACCATCGGCTCTAGGAAAACCACTGCTGAGTGTCAGAACTGATGCAGGCAATCACAGCCTGCTTGATTGGATAATCAGGGCAAAATCCTGTTTGCTCCTCTTGAAAACCAGCATTTACAGCCCACATGCCTGCTGTGACTGTTCCTGAAGGATTTAGGAGCCAGCATGGACCACCTGAGCCAAACTCACCTCGCAGCCTTTGACACAATGAATCAGGGAAGGGTGAGGATACCACTTGAGTCCTGCCGTGCAGACAACGCTCTGGAGGGAAGAGGAAAAAAAAAGCAGCAGGTTAAGACAAAGAAATCAGTGTACAGAAAGTCAGAGTGCTGGCTCCTGTGGCTCTCCTGTACTTAACCAATGAAGTTCAATTCCTAACACCTCTTGTGTTCTCAGGACCTGGCTGTCCTCCAGGTATTTACAAGAAGTGTTGGACTTGACACTTGCAATAACAGAGCATTTGAGATTAAAATAATATTTAAGGTTCTCCTAAAATGTCATGTCCAATATTTCACTCCTGGTGGGGGAACGTGGCAGGGAAAGGCAAAGGCACAGGTCCACTGTCTTGCTCTTGGGTAGAGGTGGGGCATTTTAGGAATTAATTTAGGGATTTCTTTGGTGCTGCAAAGCATTGGTGTCTTTCACTGCCCATCATACCTGGGCTTCTTGAAGATGGAAGCAGCTAATGGTGGACTTTCAGATGCATTTTAACACCATCTTAAATAAAAGCACCTCCCACCACACGCTTTTAGAATAATCCCCAGTCAGGACAGCATCATCTGCTCTATTTTATGAGTTTTACAGTAATTTCTCTACCAACTCTGTCTACAGATTTTCTAGAAGAAAAAGTTGGACTGCCTAGTTTCGGGCAAAAATGATGACCAGGCTCCCTAATGATGACACAGCCAGGGCAGCCATAGACATGGACACTTAGATTTAAGAGTGGGTTAAATCTTTGACCAGTCAGAGGAGATGGTGGTTCAATACCATGGAGATCCTGGAGACTGGACTCCCTTCCATTCAGCAGGACATTGGGCACAGTGCTCATTTTGAGTTATCACCCATGCACGGAGCACTACCCTGTCCACTTGGGCAGGATGAACACACGGGCACTCACCTGAAGAGAGGGGTTGGGGTTGGATGGAGGCCTGGGGAAGGAAGGGATTAACATTCGGGAAGACCCCAGGCACAAGCCATCCCCTCCCCTGTTTATCTGAGGGCCAATCTAATCCATGGGCAGGGGAACCTCGGCATGTTTTTACAGTTTCTGTCATTTGAGGCTTACCTGGCGTGTGCTAGAAAAAGGACTTTTATACTATCTGACGGCGGCTGTTTATCTTTCCGATGCTCTCGGATTTTCCACTATTAGTCAAGCCCTGCTTGCCCCACCTGCCTCGCAACAGGGCCTGTCTGTGTGAGTGCAGAAGCGGCCGGGAGAGGGGGGAGGATGTTGTTTATCCCCCGGGAGGGAGGCTGCAAGGTGCGGGCGGCCCTGAGGTGTCAGACATTCCCCCAGAGCTCTTGACAGACAGCTGGGGATTTCCAGGCTGTTGCCTGCCACAAATGGTGAGGGGTTTGTTGTTTGTTTTGCCTTTTTTTCCCCCCCCCCCCTCCTCTTCTGTTTATTGCACTTCAGAGGGAAAAGAAAGGAAACTTTTCTAGGTTTGAAAATAAACAAGACCAGTCAACAGTCTGGGAGGGGAGAGTAAAGGAAACGGTTCAAGAGCGTTTGAACCCAAGAATTAAAACAAAGTAGAAAAACTCAAGCGTTTGCCTCCTGTGTCCAAGGCCAGCAGACAATAAGTGGAAGAAGGGCACTTCCAAAGAGCATCTCACATTGCCCTGGTAAGAAGCATCAATATTTACAAAACCTCTCGCTATGTGTGAATGTGTGTGAGCATGCAGAGCCAACTAAAGGAGCTGGGTAGCCCTGAACCAGGCTCTGAAGAAGAAAGGAGGTTTCCAAGTGAGAGCAATCCCTCAGAGAGGATGCACTGACTGCTTTCGTGACCCTCCCAGTGTTAAGAAGGCAGCGCTGCCCTTAGAGGAAGGGGTGGAAGGTGAAGTGTCTGCTTCTCTGAGTGCTCAGTAAAGGTCATCTTCAGTCCCAAGAACTGCACAGCCTTGGGCTGGATAGCCTCCAGGGAATGGGAATGCAGCCCCAGGTTGCTCTCCACAATGTAGGAGAGCCAGGTGACCTTGTGCCAAGTTAATCACTGGGTCAGTGGGACACTCCCATTGCTCCTGAGTGGCACCTGCCAGCAGCTTCGCACCTGTTACTTCACCCTCCCCCTTGGATGATCCTTTGCTAGAGGAGCTGAATTCAATCCTGCTAACATTCACAGAGCTGAAAACAGAAGGAAGGACCTTCTGCCACGGTTCTGGTTCCTCTTGCTGGTTTTCCAAGTCCTAAGTTCCCACCACCCAGCCTATTTGTACCCTCAAGCTGCTGCAGCGCTGTGTGCAATGCAATGGGAGAGAAGCTTTGGGTAGAGGGAAAAGACTGGTTTAGAAAATTGAGAAATTGGGAATGGTTTGGGTTGCTGGGCACTGCCTCTGCCTCCTACAGTGCAAACAGGCATACAGCTGCCACAGGATGCTGCATGGGGCAACTGAGATGAACAAACGTATAAAAAGCAAGCAAGGACGGGTGCAAGTTGTACATGACCACGATCTGATGGAACCATTGTGCATAGAAACCAAGGTGGACTCAGAAGGCCAGCACAGGCTGCTGTAAGAGTTGGGTGGAAGGAACCACATCCACCACATGCCAGGTGGAGAGTGGGGAAAGCCCATCTGGCCACTGCCCCTGTGAGCCCTGTGCCCTGTGCTGCTGTGGTGACATACACTGCCCTTGTGGCCCCAGCTCCCCTCATGTGCTGGCTTTTTGCAGCACAGCTGCCCTCCCACACGGGCCAAGGCCGGGCTAACCAGCTCCAGCCCTGTCCCCATCCCAGAGACACCACCCAGCCACATCTGGCTGGGATTCCATCTGCTGCGAAGGGAGAGGGAGCAGGGCTGTGCTCCCACAGTGGGTAACAAAGAGCCAAGAAAGCAAATCGAGCTGCTGTCATTTTCTCCTTGTGAGGGAAGACCCAGTGCCTCCGGTCACGGCGCTTCCCTCCCATGGTGGGGCTAACACAGTGATGTCAACCCCTTGTGGGCTGCAGAGGGGATTGAGTTTCCCCCAGAGAGGCCAGTGGAGAGCTCTCCTCCACCTTAGATGGGTCGAGTGTCCCCCAGGGCTAAAGCCCAGGGACTGGCATCTACTGGTCTCAGCTAACTCGCTCCTCAGGCACTAAATGAACGTGACAATTAACCATGGGCTTAATGTGGCTCAGGTGAGGGGATCGACCAGGAGAGGGGAGACACAGCACTTTGGGGCTGGTCCTTCCGGTAGCTACAGATGGGCTGGGATCTCCTGCCTTCCTGGGTTCTGAGCAGCTGCACTGCAGTTGGTCACATCACTGCTCTGTGCCTCAGTTTCCCAGCTGCAAAATGAGCCCAAAACTCACCAAACAAAAAAAAAAAAAAAAAAAAAAAAAAAAAAAAAAAAAAAAAAAAAAAAAAAAAAAAAAAAAAAAAAAAAAAAAAAAAAAAAAAAAAAAAAAAAAAAAAAAAAAAAAAAAAAAAAAAAAAAAAGGCAGAGGGGAAGGAAAGAGGAAAACTGCAAAGCTTGAATGAATAGGGGAGTATTTAAGGAGTATTCCCATTAACAATTTTTGGATGTTTATAATCCCAAGCCTTGCAGTGCACGTGGGAAAACACATCACCAGCAGTTGGGCAGCATCCCTGGTGTGTGGAGGGGCCATGGCCACGCTCAGCCCAGCAGAGTCAGGGCACACCAACCCTTTGAGGGCTTTCCCAGGCGTGCACATGCCTGCACATTGTTTGGCCTGTTCCTACTCAGTACAGAGGCAAGAACCCAAATTCAGACAGCCTAAGAAATTAGGTGTCTGCCCTGTTTCTCTGCAGTCAGTGGGAAAGAGCTGTCAAAGCTGTCTCCCTGAGCTATTTCCCTTTTTTTCTCCCTGCTGCCTGCATAGTCAGTCTTGGCAGCTCTATCCATGGGTGTCTTGAGCAGCTCAGAGCCCCATGACACTCATAGTGAAGGGGAAATCATGGGGACAGCAGTGGCTGCTCCCAACATGGCCCACTGCAAAACAACAGAGGAACAGAAGATTTCAGGTGATTTTTTTTTTCATGCTAAAAATACTGATTTGGAAGACGCTGCCAACTTACGCTGATTTCAACAAACTGTTTCAGACCCAGCAAAGCAACTCAACCTAAACCAATTCTGCAAAACACAGTAATATTTAGACATTTTTTGAAGTGAATTATCTGTTGTTGTTGTTGTTCCTTTGAGAGGACATTTAATTTCTAAGGGTTGTGTTTTTTTTCATTTTCATTAAACAAAAGTTTACAAAATCTCCTTGGAAATTAAATGCTACGTCATGTTCAAACCAACTTGTTCTTTCCTCCAATTTTTTGGTTCACCAAAAATCACAACAACAAAAGAGTGCACTTTGATTAGAGAAAAACATTTTTTTTTTCCAAAATTTAACAGAACTTCGAGTGAACTGAAAAATCAAGTGATTTGCACAGCTCTGCTCTAAATAACCCCCAGAGGAGGGATAGCCCTTCTTCCCACTTTGCTTCCATAACAGATGTTGCTTGAGCCGCTACACACAAATATATCTTTTGTCTTGCCAGCTCTCCTTGTATTTTGTTGTCCCTATCCCCTCAAAGGTAAATGCCACAGACGGGTCCTGCCTTTACCTACTTCCCATCCTGCCCTAATTTGTACTTCACTTGTGCCTGAAATGAAGTAACTGGAAGTGTTTCCTCTGCGTCATTCGAGTGCTGTGAGATGTACAAAGACTCGCCGTGTAAATGCAACCAGCTGCTCCCTTTGCTCGTGTGGCACAACAGCAAACTGTCACTGACCATAAACAGAGACACGGATTATTAATGATGTGTAGCACATTACCATGGGGACCTTCCCCTAAGGCGTCCCAATCCCACGTCTCCAGGGTCTCCCCAGTCCCACCAGAAGCAGCGTTTCCCCCAATGGAACCTCACAAGGCTCCGTTCCCTGTAGGTGACAACCCCTTCTCTGCAGAGCTGAGTAAGATGGATGCTTTAGAGCTACCAAAAAAATCCCCTCTGATATGTCTCATCATCACCCTGCTCGTCTCCCAGCACAAGTTTTCAAACCCCAAATCTCACCCTCTACTTACAAACCGTGGGGTCAAACTTGCATCTGATCCCAGCCTAAAGCTCTTGCAAGATCCTCGCCATCAGGGCAAAAAAAAAGGTCTTATTTGCCACTGTGCTCTTGGAAACCACGATCTCTCCTCCATCCCTCACTCCCCTCATCTCCCCCTTTACTACTCTGTGTTTTCCCTGCTGCCTAATGAGCCCTCCAGAGACCTGCAGGTATAAAACTCGTTACAGCTCCCTCCACGTACCCGCATCAATAAGGGAAGGAGTGCAGAGAGAACGGGAGGGAAGCTGTCACTTTATTTCCCCATGAATTACAAACCACTTTAAAGTCTGGCACTCGGGAAAGGGCCGGTGAGAAATTGCCCCTCATACAGAGATAGGGGTTTTCTTTATGTTTCATGCCAGAAACTTGGCAAAGCCTCGGCTTAGGCAGTCACAGAATTTTGGAGTCTGGAGCTGGGAATGGGGAGCTGGGAAGGACACTGTGAGCTTGTCATATTCTCTGGACTTAAGTTTCCCACTCATTTCCAGGATTTATTCTCTCGCTCTGTGTGAAATAGGAAAGTATAAAGTGGTGGAGATTTTTGGAGCGGCTCTCTACCCACAGCCAAGGCCAGATTTCAAAAATCCCAAACCCTGGGTGCACATTTAGTCATGTAGAGAAGCAAATAAACTGTCAAAGCTGCTCAGGACACGCTGGGGCTGTGTTGGCTGCTTGTTCTCCTCCGTAATGGAGTTCAAGTGTGTAAAACAAGCTCCTGCAAAGCCAGGGCCAAGTCTGTAAAAAGCCAGCAGTGCTTGTTCACGAACACCAGCAGCAGCCTGGTGACACCTGATGTGTCAGCATCTCCCGACAGGTGCTCCAGCGTGTCCAGTTAGACCTTTACACCTGCAGAAACACTGTGTGGGCACAAGCACCTGGTTACACGAATTTGCAGGCAGGAGGCACGTGAGGGTTTTCAGGATGAGGTGGATATGCGTGTCTCCCTCTGGAATCTCAGTGTGGGCACGAAACTAAGCAGCTGTTGGGTGCAGGGCAAGTTGTGTGTGCGAGGTGTGGGTGGGCACGTCCCCAGCGGGGCACGCTGGCACTGCTGTGCGCTGGAGGACGCTCAGGACGGAGTGCTGGGAGCAGTTAATGCTGGTTGTGCGTTTGCAGCAGGCGGGAGGGAGAAGTGGTGACCTCTGGAAGGGGCTGTGCTGAGCAGGCAGCTCTCGCATGCGGGCGAAGGGGCGGGGGGAGCGCTCAGCCAGCTCTGCGGGGTCGGGAAATTAAATACCCTCTGTATCAGCTTCTTTTGTCATCCAAAAGCAGCACAGAAAAAAAATCCAGCCCCTGCTACCCAAAGAATGCAAAACACGGAACAAGAGGAAGAAAATAAAACCTGGCCAGTGCCCTTTCTCTCGCTGTCTGTCACATCTTCCTGTGTCATGAATCCCATTTTCAGATCAGACCCCACTGATCTGAGGCCTTTACCTTGAACTGACTTTCAATGGGAAAACACAGAGAGACAGCAACTTAGAGAGAAAGTGACCCCATTGCCAGAACAACATGCAAAGACACAACAAAAATCTGTAATTCTTTCCCCTAAAGGGCAGCATTCCCCATTTTCCGCCCTCATCAAAAGAACCACAGGTAACGCTGCTCACTCTCTGCTCATAAACATTCAGCAAGGGATACAGTTAGTGGAGTTGTCAGGCACTGACCTTCACTCTCTGAGGGTTCATCCAGTGCTGGATGTCTTGCACAGTCTCGTTCACACGCAGGAGGATGGGCTCGTGACTGTGATCCAGACATGAGGTGGTGCACTCTGTGCCTGCACAAAACACGGGCAGGATAAAGCTAAAGGATAAAGCGAGCAGCTCCTGACCCTTCCAGCATCCTTCCAGCTGAAGGACAGGATTACGGCTCGTTTTTCCTAAATTGCAATTAGCAGTCAACCATAACTATCACATATCTCTAAGCCACACATGAAGTGCTGAGTACAACGCTGCACTCAGCAGGAGACCGTGGGGGTGGCACATATTCCAGGACCCTTTTGTATGAGCTGCAAATCTAGGTATTTCTCTGGCTATTAACTCCAAAAAAGGGGTCAGGCTTTGCCATTTTGGATCATCAAGAAAAGGTGAAGGTTTTTCCATTTCAGCTAATCTTTCAAGAAATGGGACTGATTAGGCAGAGGCTGTCAAACTCATCTCTCCTATGACATGACAAAAACATACCGTTTGATCTGTCCCAAGTTTGCAGATCTCCAATAATAATCTTTGAGAGGGTGACCAAGCCTAATGATATTGGAGATGAACTATCACCTAAGTCCCACAGTCGATAAGAAGTATGCAGAGAGGTAATGATGGCTTTGTTCACGCATAAACCTGCTTTTTCTCTGATTAACTGTCATGCCCAGTGGGAACCCTGTCCTTTCTTTATTAAAACATGCTGGGATACTCTGCAGCAATATCCCAGAGCCCTGTGGTGATACAACCATAAGCCCTAGTGTGTTGGACCATTACCATTTCCCCCCTGGAAAATCACTCTTGAATGGCACAGCTGTTGCAAACATGTCATTAGGATTTCTGCACTCCAATCAGCGCTGGGGGAGGAATTAATCTCTGCACTGGTTTGGAGAGCTGAACCTTTGGCTCAACACACGCCTCAGCCTGGAAGGGCAGATTAGGTGTCTGAGGAATTACCAAAGGTGTGTGGGATTCATAGTGGCCACGACTGGATGCTATTATTTCCCCCACCTGCTTCTGCCTTCTCACATGGAGGAGTCAGTGGGAGCACTTGGAGTTTGTTTTGCTTTCCCAGGGCACGTGGTGGTGGCTCCACAGACCTGCTGGATGAGGCCCACTGACACCACCCCCGTGGCAAACGAGTGGCAGAGGAGCACCTTCACAAAAGGCCATCAATCAGGCTTCCAAAAACGCAAAGAAGAGAGGAAAACCCCAATATCTGATGCCAAAAGGTGGTGCTGGGTGAGCCTACAAGGAGTGTGGTATGTCTCCATCTGCTGAGGATGAGCCAGGGGCTGCTGCACCCTTGCTGAGCTCTCCAGGGAGAGTCATGCATCCCTCACCTCCGTGATGCTGTGTGGTCCCATCCTGGAATCAGGCCCACTTGGAATCAGCACCTGCTGACAGCAACTGGGAGAAGAGCGAGAGCTGGCAGGCGCCCTCTGCCTGAGCGGCCGCAGACCCTCCTGCTTCCAGCACTGAGATGCCCCTCACCAAAGCAGGAATTGGGACTCCTCTCCTTGCAAAAACCTGGCTAGGCCTGGGGGTAACCTCCCCTCAAGGGTAAAACACCTCGCCACATTAAGAGTCGCCCGCTCTCCCGCGCTCCACCACGCTCTGTACGCTGGCGGGGAGGAGCGGGTCGGGATTGTTTTGATATATGATCTGTAATTGGCATCATTACAGAGCGGTGATCTCATCCAGGTCGTGTTCTCCTCCCCGGGGAGGGAACACAAGGAGGCTCGTGGTCCCTCACAAGGCTGCGATATAATGAGGAAGCCGCGCGAGGAGGAAATTTCTCCAAGTTCAAAGGGACAGACGGGGGGGGGGGGATGGCAGGGGCTGGGATTGGGGCTGCAGGAAAGGGGCCTCGCAGGTCTGTGTGGGCTGCAGCCAGTGCAGCTTCCACTGCAGCCCTTACAGCAAGGAGACCCCAAAAACCGGGGCTGAAAATACAATATAAGGCTGAAAATGCAATGCAGTGTGTACAGTTCAGTGCGTCTGTCCCTCCCCTCTGCCTGGGTGCCACAAAGCAAAGCTGAGTATGTGAAGTCCTCACCCCTTACAGTGTGAGCAGGTACCCCAGAAGAAAGGCAGAAAATCAGCTCCTAAGCAACTGTCATACCAAAGGGGATGCTCAGCTTGTCTCACATTCTTTCTGGAGAGACCTGAATTATTCTGGTGCTGTGTTACCCTGCCACCTCTTTTGCCTTTCAGCCTCCGAAGTGAAGGTGTGTGCATGAGGTTGAAGGAGTGGGACATTACAAAAGCATGAGAACAAACACAGGTACAGTCCCTCCCTGCATTTTGCAGGCTGGATGTGTCTCTGGCACAGCCTGCCATGCTGGCTGCTCCTGAGAACCGGCAGGCCAAGAAGGGGCACAGTGAAACTGGAAACAGGTGCTGGGGGGAGGCTCACGCACCTATTCCGTAGCCGCTGGTGCACTGGAGCTTCAGGTGGCTGTTGAGCTGGGTGGGCAGAGTGCACTGCCCCTGCATCTCCCGGCACAGGTGGAAGGAGCCGCTCCACGTGCCGTCCTTCCTGCAGTGAATCACGTTGCTCCCACGGCCCTGGGGATGAGAGGAGGAGACAACGAGGACGGTCACAAAAACGCCACCAAAAGAGAGGGTGAGAGCTCAGAGCTGAGCTGGGAGCAAAGTTCTGCTGGAACTGGAAGAGCCCCCAGTTGGGACAGGCAGCCCTGGGGGGCAAAATGGAGTTTTCTTCCAAAGAATAATTAAAAAAAAAAAAAAAAAAAAAAAAAGGAAACACCTGCCCTGCAGACAAACGCACACACACACACACACTGCTCGCCTGTGCAATGCAAGGTCTTTACAACCCCTTGCAAGGTCTCCACCTTACAACAGCCCCACTCCAGTTGCAGCAAAGGTGCCTTCACCCTGTTTGCCTTCTTTCTTGTTGTGGAGAGGTTGGCGTTGAATGCAGACAACCTTTTCCCTCTTCCCATTCTCTAACTAGTTACATCATCTTTGTCTTGAAAAAGAAAGAATCCCCAATGGCCAACTGAATGAGGAAGGAGAGCAGGACACGAGCAGGGATGCTTAGCAGGGCAGAACGTGCTCTTTAGAGCTTGTCTGCCTTGAGTGACAGCAAGTGAAGAGGTCGAGACAGACACGCACAGAGGCAGGTGGGAAGGAGGGAAAGAAAATCCTCTGGTGTGGGAATGGGCAAGGCATAGAATATGACATTTCTCTTATAGAAAAGATTCTCTGTATGATACTGAAGAATGAATAACAAAGTCCGAGGGGAAATATCATGCCCTTTAAAAACAACAAAGGAGTGCATAGGCAATCTTTTGTTGGATCTATCCTCATGGCATTGGGGATTTCTGTGCAAGCTGTTCTGTGGGATCTGCGAGCCTGACTGCCATGGGGTAATGTGGGATGTTCAACAGGAGCATGTCTGGTGGGGCTGGGCTCCAAACCTCCCGTGGGAACCTTACTGGGTGGGAAAACCATGCAGGATCTCTGCTTCTCCTCACCCGTTTTACATTCCAGGCATGTTGCCTGCAATCTACTCACCCTGCTCTTGGAGACTGTGCTGGGTATCTTTGGGGCTCCTTTAATGTCCATGCTGGGGTCCCTGCAGGGCTGCTGAACTTTCTGGAGGAGCTCTGCCTCATGACCCACACCCACTGTTGCACAGGGCCCTGCACAAGCCCCTGGTACTGGTGTGGAAGACGTCACAGCCTTCAGTGTTAGTCTTGTAGTCTTGTCGTCTTGTCCTTATCATCCTAATGCCTTTTTTTTTTTTTTTTTAATTTTTTATTTTTTTGCTCAGCTTTGTTGATGAACACAATGTTTAGTGAGATGCAAAGTGGTATTAGTGGCAGACTACTGCGTGAGACCTGCTTCCCCTTCTCTAGACATCTGGCCATTGCCAGAAGTAATAAGAAAATCATATGAAAGGATGATGGAGCAGATGGACTCAGGGTGTGATCCAGCTTGGTGATTCTCACCTAAGGGCCAGTTTGGCAGAGACTGATTAATTTAGATCTGACTGTTCATATGATTTGTGCACAATATTCAGAAATGGAAGACCCTTGCTCTGGTGCCCAGGGAGGTACCTGCTTAAATGACCATTACATTCCTGGTGATTAAGAGATGCTGGATGTACAGCCAAGTAATGATCTTTCAGCGTGGTGACAAAGTCAGGAATAAATTGCTAAACGATAATTAAGCACAATTTGCTGGTTTAGCAAGTGTGAGGCACTTCCATTGCAATTTCCATGCTAGGGTTCAAGCATGATTCTCAAAGGTGAGCCATGAAACCTGATTTATGTTCCTGGAGCTGGCTGTGCTTGAGGGTACTATTGTATAGTTTCTGCAACATACTCAGAGATCCCAGGATATCCATTGCTATAGTAACATACTGTCCATCATTCCCTGACCTGCAAAATCTCTTGTGAAAATCCCTGCTGGGTTTCTTGCTTGGATGCAACGTGTATTATCACCTTATATAGCTGAGAGAGACTTAGTGGGGTTTAATCCTTAAATAATTAACACCTCTCAAGTGGTTCTGGCTTGTGCCAGAAGTCCTCCCCTCTTCTTCTGTAGCCTATTTTCTGGGATATCTGAAAATACCTTTCTCTGCAAATCCCTCTCTCAAGATGTTTTCTGCTCCTTTGCCCAAGGTGCTTTCACAGCTGAACAGTCACTCGCAGTGAATGCAGACATAGATGGATCTCTCACTTTCTAGAGCTCACTAACCCTGACTCCACTACTTGCTGCTCTTTGTGTCCACCTCATTCAAAAGCAAACACAAGCCCGTTACACCAGTGGTGGTTGCCCTGGAGGCCCCAGTTTCCCTGCACTGGCAGCAATGGCACCCAGCGATGGGACGCGGCCTCAGCCACTCTGACCAGTCTGAGCAAGTGGTAGATGCACAAACCCCACAGCTGTTGTGTCCCAGAGCTCCCACCTGAACTGCACCCACACCTGCAGCTTCTCCTTTCACACAGCTCATAACCTCCCTGTAAGAGTTACACAAGGAAACCTTTTCCAGATGCCCTGAAGTGAAACAGCGGGGCTCTGCCTGTTGTCCCCATGGAGAGGGCAGGCCAGCCTGGCTGGGAATAGGGGCAGGCAGGGGCTTTTAACATTTGGAGCAAGTATTAGAGGTGCCTTTCACATAATTGGTCCCTTTTTAAATGCCCTCAGAGTCTGGAATGATATTAAACCACCTATGACAGAGCACTCCCTGTTCCCTGCAATGCCTGTAGTACCTGCAGCTTCTACATCCCTGCTTTCTCTTCCAGAGAGTATGGAGCAGTAGCAGCACTTCTGGGAGAAGTTACTTATCTCACAAACTATAATTACCTGTGGTGAGGAAAACTAGGCATTTCCAACAAGATAGTAAAGGGCAGACCTTCTTGTGTCAGTGAACACAGCTCCTAGGACGTCAAAGGCAACACGCTGATTTGTGCCAGGTGAGGATCTGACCCCTGATGCCAAATGACACCAGGAGAACAAGTTTAGAGATAGTTCACCTGAATAGCTGTAATCCCTGTAGCATTAAATTATCATATGGCACACAGAAATATAGTAAGAAGAACTGGAGGGAAAAGCGAGGTAAAACAGAATGAACAAACGGGATAAGTTTGGATAACTCACACCCTGCTTACTTTCATTCCTTGCTCCTTATTTTCTAGCCAGGTCATAGAGCCACTGAGGCAGATCTTTTAGCCACTTATTGTCCAAAAACATTAGGTCAGCCACTGCTAGTCCTCTACAGGTAGTAGTTAATACTGTTACAACTGTCATAAAAATAATATTTCCAGACTCTTCACACTCTACTTTATTTTTCCCTTCTCCATCTCTCTGCTCTCAGAAGAGCTCAGTGGCACTCTGCCCCTCCAAGATCAGGATCCTGGGGGAACCTTTTCAGGTTGAGGTAATTTGGATGAGAGAGACTCACCGCCTGACTGTCATCATCCTCACACTTGATCCGGCACTCGCTGTTGAACTGGAAGCCGTTGGAGCACTGGTAGAGCCCGTGGAACTTGGAAGGTGGAGGGTCACAGGTAACGGGCACACAAGCACCTGGCAGCCACGTGCCGTCCTGCGTGCACTGGATCTTGAAGGCTCGTCTTTTTGTGCAGAAAAAAAAAAAAGACCCTTTAGCGAGTGGCTGAGTCAGCTGAGAGCCTTCTCCAGCCTCTGAGCTCTGCTAGCAGGTTGCAGGGGATGGGTGTGCTTGTGCTTTTAACACTCGGGGAACAAGTTGTGAATCTGCGTCATGAGGTCTCTGAGCAAAAATAACGATTATTTGCAAAGCCAACATCGAGCTGCTCAGCCCAAACTCCTCTTTTGGCCTCGGACACACTGCCCAAGAACTCGGCTTCCCAGGTTTGTGGGCTGTGGTTGGTTTGAAGTGGGTTTGTGCAGAGTCAGAAGTATATGACAGCACTAACCCTTTCCTGCAGGGTTTCAAAGGGGACTCCCCAGGCTGCATATCAAAGGGGTGTTTCTAAGGTAAGGTCTGTTTTTTGAGCACTGGTCAGGATTCTCAAAGAAGCCTAAGTGAGCGAGGTGCCTTAATCCCCTTGAAGCTGCACAGCTATCTGCATGAAGGAATTGCTCCGTGCCATTCCCTGAGGCACATATGGTCTGTGATAAACAGCCCATCCCTTTCCCAAAATCATTTTAACTCATGGCTTTCTGAATCAGACTGACTGCAAGGCTTTCGTCTTTCACGTACTTTCTCGATTTTCTGGAGGATCCAGGGACGTGGTAACCAGGTTTGCATTTGTACTTGCAAAAGGAGCCCACTTTGTGCTTGTCTTCTCGGCAACGAGAAGTCTGGAGATCTGCATTGGGGACGACGGAGGGTGCTCGGCACATCAGCTCACACAGGGCCTCTGGAAAGGACCACAGCCCATCCTCCATGCAGGTCAAGTTGCTGTTGTTTCCTGAGAAGAACAGTGAGCACAGTTAACAACGTTCAGCGGGACTGCTTTCTTTTGAAATGTCGTTACACCCGTCATGTATCAAAAGCCACCTCGGCCGGTTTGACAAATTCAACTGTGTATGTCCTATGTGCTTTCTCTTCCTAGATGATGGCATTAAATCATTAAGGGCTCTGTTTTCAGATGACAGGCAGGCAGTGCTTATTTCAGGAAATGCTGTAGCATAGGGGAAGCCACACGGGCTTTGTCATCTTTTGTATTTCTCTTCCTTATTTTGTTCCTCTCTGAAAGGAAGCTTGTTTCATACATCAACCCCCTCCCCTCCAAAGCCATCGCTTTAACAGGGGGTTTGGTGCCATCACATTCTTCAAGCTGCTTCTGTGTTATATCTCTTCCCTAAAGCTGTCCCTTTCATTTCAATTTGGAGCCTTTTGGAGCAGCATCTGTTAGTATTAGAGTCACTACTCCAACACAATGAGGAGCCATTCTCAGCTGGGGACTCTCAGTCCTTGGGGACTACTGTGATAAATACGATTCATAATACTCATTAGAGACTCATTTTCCTCAGGAAGCTTTCTTGGCCAACACCTCAAAGGTAAAAGGTACAATAGATCTATTTGCCTCTGCTATGACCTACTTGACTTCAGAAGGTTAAGCTAAAAGTAGCCTGGTCTCAGTGTATTTTACATTCTTTGTTATTTTATACCATATGTTGAAAAGGAATAAGCTTTTCCTAAGAAACAAAGCACAGCTATGAGCCACTAACCCTTCAAAAATCCCTAATACTCCATTGAAATCCCTGAGCATTGCTGCAGGAACTCTGCTCAACCCACAAGGCATATTTGCAACAGTGAGCCAACTCCGGAGTTATCCGAAATAATACTGACAAACTGCTAACCCCAGAGCAATGCCATCTCTCTGCAAGGGAAGGAAGAGAGACGGGGCATGAGGCTGGAATTCAAAGAAGAAGAAAACAAAGGGCTCTGGAGGGCTCAGGAAGGTATGTGGAGGAGCCCTCCTGCCCTGCCCTCAAAGATAAGAGAAGCCACATTAAATCAGCCCCGGCTTTGTCTCTCCCCTCCCCAACTGCAGATGATTGCAGAGGTATTTTGTGCAGAAGGGAGCTCTTTTCTGGAGCACCAGCATGTTCCTCTGCTCTGACTCATGCAGCAGCTCTGCAGACCAGCCTGGTGATATCATACTTGCCACTGCAAAGCGATAAGCTGTGACATTACCAACAGTGGCTGTCATGACGTCAGTGATTGAATTAGGCATGAGTCATTCTCCAGAAGCTTAGTGGCAACATCTATTAGTCATCACCGATGGCTGGACACCAAGTGGTGCCTTTTCTGGACAGAAGTGAAGTGATGCTACACACCAGAGCTGCACCCCCCGAGCTGGGGGTGGGTTATCACCCCTCCAGCTACCCCTGCCTGAGTCATCAGCTCTTGCTGGTCATGATCAGTATCACTGTTTTCACTGTGTGCTCAAAGAATTTAAAGCACTTTCAATGAAAAAACATCTTTTGTTAAAGATGACCCTCTTGATATATGAACAGAAAAAGGGATTTTTTTTGGGTAAAAAGTAGTCTTAACTTTCCCTTAACTATCCTTTGAGTAGTCTTAATTTTCTGCTTGTGACTATCTTCTGTCAGAGTTAAAAAGAATTAAGCAATTTGGTTATATATGAAGAAATCAACATATCCTTTCACTGAAATGAAGTATGCTTTCCATGTCTTCCTTTTCTGGGATTTGCAATGAGTCCCAGTAGAAAAGCTGATACTACAGGTACAAGAAAAAAACCCTTTACAGAATTTGTTCCTGAGTTGACAACAACAGTTAAGATTACTCCACTGCAAGATGACAAGTTAATTTGGGTCTAATGTTCCTTCAAATTAACAGTGGTATCTTCTCTTGTTTCCTGAGGATCAGACCAGAAAGGGTGATGTGCCACTGAGCAGAAGAGTTGATGGTGCTGAGAAGAGGATGGGAATGTTAGCAGAAAAGCAGCAGGGAAGAAGATGAAGGAGAAAATGAAAGAAGGCAGCAGAGTGTGTTATTTCTAGGAAAAAAAAAAAAAAAAAGAGAGAAAAAAGAGGAAAGTAAAGACTCCCAAACAAGAAGAGGAAAAAAGGGTCAGAGGTAGAGCGAGATGAGTGTGGAGAAGGAGAGAGGTGATGGTGGATTAGGACAAACAGTGATGGGGATCTGCGCCACTGGGACATGCAGCTTTTCAGTCTTCTGCCTTTCCAAATACACAGAGGAGGCATAGAAGAAAGACAGACATACAAAACAGAGAAGGCATGGGAAAGAAGATGAGAGAGTTCAATCAGATTTATCCCCATGACTTTTCCATGTTTTGCTTGTATGGAAGCAATATTCACTGTCATTACTGCCCGGCCAGCCGCGATCAAGGAAAGGTCAAAGGAAGGTAATAGAGAGATGCAAAGGAACTTAACTTCTAATATAAATAAACCTTCCACAGAGTCTCATAATTCTTCATACTTAAAATATCATGAATAATTCTAAAACAACAGCAACAGTACCATATATTACTCAGAGCAGCCTGTGTTAGCTGTGCAGTTCTCCCCAGGTCACTGCACAGACACCCTCTGGTACCTTTCAGAAGAGCAGGAGGCCGGCAAGTGAAGGAGCATTTCTTGCCAAAGGTGGTCCCCTCACTGCAGTTGAAGGTGGCTGGGTAGACGTGGTACTGGTCTGGGACACCGCAGTCCACAGGCTCACAGGTCACCTGCTTGTTCCACTTCCCATCCACACAAGTCATGGTGATGCTGGACTCCATCTGGAAAAACACACATGCCTACAGCCACCACAGCCAGCAAGGGAGAGATAAAAACCATTCCAAGCCTAGCAACAGCCATTACTTTGGCTCACAAGCTAGGCAAAACCATGCCTGGCCTCTACCATCATCTTTTGGACAGGGCAGCAGCTCCTAAACCCACCAAAGTGCCACAAGAAACGGTGTCAGACAACCAGGATGTATTTCTATCACCTCTGCGGTGAGACACCACAGCGCTTCCATATGAGGAGCAGAGCACTGTGAATAATCCAGACTCTTGTCTGCAAGGCCTCCTGGGACAAGCAGGGCACATGCTGTCCTGTCCTATGTTTGGGAAGGAGCACACAAGCCTGAGCTGTTGGAGCTGACAGCTGTCCCCCATCCCTGTCACCCCTGCGGTGACACAGCCACTCCAAAGGGATCCCCACGTGCTTCTGAGTCAAACTCACTCTTGGGTTTGAAGTAAAAGCCAACCTGACATGAAACCATTTGGGACTCCTGCCCGAGGCTCTCCTGAGGGGTGTCAGTCACCCTTGGCTGGGGGTGCCAGGGGAAGTGCCTTGGGCCACGTCAGCCTTGTGTGCAGATACTTGACAGCTGCTCTTATGGCTTCTCTGTCAGGGTGCCCCAAGGCTTCACATGAAATCAGGGCCCATGGACATGCAATCCTGAGAGACAGACCTTTTTCCAGGAGGAGTTTACCATCAACGGACCCAGGAGCATCCTGCCCATAACTGGCACCTGGCACTTGAGAGTCAGTGCCGGTGCTCTGACTTCCCCAAAGTCACTCTACTGTCACAGCTACACTCCTGTGGATCTGAGGAATAATCCAAACAGCACAGCAGACTAAAATCCTGAAGTGCTAGGGGCAAAGGCAGAAAAAGGGGGCAGCTAAAGGAGCCACCCATCCAAAGCTAAGACGATAAATTTGCTGGATGACTGAAGGACAAACAGATGTTGGCAAAGAGAACTGAGTAAACAACATATCCACTTTCTAATTAAAAATGGAAAATTATTAAAAACTAGAAGTGAAGAATCTAACTCTTCCCTCCACACCAGAATAAAGAGAGGGACAGAAGTTTAGAAATGTGAGAAACCCAAACACGCGAGGGGGAAGATGCTGGCGAGGAATCTGACCGAGCCATACAGCAGCACTCCTCTGCCTCCAGGGAATATTTTATTCAGGGCTGGTATGCTCACAGGAGATTTGCACCGCCGACCATTGATCTGGGTTTATAAAAGGAAGGGGAATGTTTCTAGCACACATCAAAGGGACCTGGATTCCCTTTTTGCAAAAACACCCTAATGGTTTCAACAGAAGTCCAGACCTGTCTCCCTTTGATATATGGTTGCATACAGAATGGAAAAAGCAGTCCCAGAGTTGAGAAACTGGACACTTCCCAAGTGGGCACAAACCCCCTTTTCTAGACCGTGGAGTTTATTTAAACAGGGAACACTGCTGATGGAAAAAAATGTCTTTTCTACAAGTTTAGAGTAGCGCATTCCGGGATTCTTGGAGCACTCAGGTGAAGTGACTCTCTGCATTCTCACTCCCAAGTGGCTGTTAATTGCGCCTTTGCTACTTACCAGAATATTTGATAGCATTAAAAAAGGGTCTATAAAATGTAGGCAGTTGATTCCTTGAAGCCCCCTGTGCTTCCAGGAAGTCACAGTGTGGTGGCCACAGGAGAAGGGATGATACAGCGTATTCCCATGCCTTGAAAACCGTACAGACGCATTTCCTCTCCAGGATGAGCTGCTCCAGCATTTAGCAAAGCCTCTTTTCCCAAATAACACAGCAGCACTGTGGCTGCTGGAACTTAAAACATAAACCCAAGCTATTGATGTCAATAAACTCAAGCTAATGATGTCAGAGGCTATCCAAATGTTATGGAAAAGACATGGGCCTTGCATAGTATCTTGCTGGATGCTGGATCCATGCTGAACATAGGCAAGCTCTATGATAAGAGGTTCAACTCCAAGAGTTAAAGTATTAGTGTTGGTGCAAATGATTGTTCCTACGACCTGATACTGGCTGCACAAAGGAGTTTCTCTAATGACAGGGTTGCACATCAAATGTACCTCTACATAACACCAAATAAACACTGCAAACTCAGAAACAGGAACGTAATACAAATATTTAAAGAGAGGCAATATCTGTGCACAGCAGTCACATCTTACAGAAAGGAATGTTTTGCCTGAGCTAACGCTTGTAAGAGTATTTCAGCTGCAGCCGTGGCCTTTGTTAGCAGAAAGCTGCAGGACATTAGAGCCTGCTGGGAATGTGATGTGCCCGGGATCCCCTCTCCTTGGAAGGGATCCCTCACTACAGCCATATTCCCACTTTCCTTTATTGTCCCCATGTTCTAGACATTGATGTGAAAAAGATAATAGTTAGTGTCTCCACGTTTTTATCTCTGGCTTTCTCCTGGTGGTACTTCCCCCACAAAAGCACTAACCTAATCTGTGAGAGTCCTTCCAGACCCATTATGGCTTTCCCTGCTCCTGGCACACTGGGAAGACCATTCCCATGCAGACAAGCTGTGCCCACGTGGGTAAGACCCTGGCTTCTCAGCTTTTTCTCAGTAATTTGTTCCACACTTTGTATGATGGAAGTTGAGGTTTTCAAGGTCAGACATAATAATGGCACGTTTTAGACCGTGTCTATCATGTCATCACTTCAAGCACATGGAATTCAGCAGCAGAACATAACAGAGAGTGTTCCCTGCGATGGAGAGAAAGACTGGTGGCTTTGACTGGAAGCACAGAGGACAAACCTGCCACAGAAATTCTTGCAGGTGGCACCCACCAGCTCTCAGCTTCCCCCTCCTGTGGTGTCGCACCTGAGGGTGGGATCACTGCAGTACCCAGGGCAGGACCCCTGGAGGCTGAGCAGGAGCCCATCTCTTCCCAGCTCCATGCCACGCCTCAGGGATGTTTCCAGTGGACTCAGCCTGAGCAGTGCTGCCTTTGGATCCAGCACTGGGTCCTAGTGGCAGCATCTGCATCTGCCTTTGCGGATCTCCCACCCGGGGCTGAGCAGGCACGTGCCTGTTTCGCCTGTCTGATCTGACAAGGTCACCCAGCTCACAGCAGTCCATACAAAGCACTTGGCTTTCTTGTCTGGTTTATTAGCTGTCACTTTGGGCACTTTGTGCTGCTTTGACTGGCATCACAGCAACTGCTTCCCTTCATGTCCTGCCTTCCAAAAGAAGCTTACGCAAGGAGGGAGGGTGGGCAAGGCGAAAAGCGGGGGGTGGGGGGGGGGCAATAGGGCCTCCACAGATACAGTGTGTAATACAGTGAAGAGGATGCAAACTTAAACAAATCTGGTGCCAGAAAGATTTGTTCCTTGGGACTTTCAACTGCCTGGGAGAATTCACGTCTCCTTCCTGCTGCCCAAGATTCCAGCCAGCTCCTTCTTCAAGCGATGCTTCACGTGTGAAGTTTCCTCTCCTTAAAAATGAACAGCTGTGCCCTCCCCTCTAAGTATTCTTCCACTTCTGCCCACTACTGTGCCTCTAATTGAACCCACATGAGGCGTGCTTTCTTTTCCTGGCATGATTGATGATGCCTTTGCACAACATTAGGGAGCTGCTGGGTTTTAAATAACACCTCTTGACCAGAGCAGCAGTGGTGGTGGCTTCAAGGAGAGATGACAACAAGCAACTGAATGAGTGGGTCTTTCAGTGAAGGACAAGGGGGAGGAAAGCAATGAAAAACAAAGGGGAGAAAGAGGGAGAAGAGAAGAAAGAGCAATGGAGTTGTCAGGGTGGGGGGGTGGTGGGTGGGAAGAAATTGGGGAGGGGGGATGAAAACATCCCGAGACCTTCTTTGTGAGAAAGATACATGAAGGATTTTGCTCTGTCACTATACAAAGCCCTTTGTTGTTGTTGCTGAAGCCCCTAAATGAGGATGAGAGAGAGCTCAAGAGTCTGTAAACAGCTCAGCTTTCTTTTTATTTTCAAGCAGCAAACAGTTTGTGCAGCACAGAGTGCTGACGGGTTTTAGGGTTTGGTGATTTTATGGAGTTTAACAGAATTTGGGAATGGGAGTTTCTCACAAGGGGAATGAATGAATGTTTTGCCCTAAGACTGATTAAAATGGTGGCTTCAGAAGACACAGAGGCCAGAAAGTGCAGAAACTTTTAGAAGATTTTCAAAGACCCCTTAGATGTAAAAGATTGATTAGAAATGTGACTTGTGCCCCTACATCTCTCAGGTGCTTTTGAAAATTTTGCTTGTAATTCTCTCTTCACCCTTTTTTTTTTTTTTTTTTTCCTGTCTTTCATTGAAATACGGAAGACAAATGTGGTTCAGATGCTAAACCAAGGTGTTTTCACTGGTCTGTGAATCATCTTCATCAGCATGCAGAGGTCATGGGCCACTGGTGTTCAGTCTGCTCTTTGATACCCTGCACCTCACCTCAGCCTTCTTCCTACCCAACAGTGTGGTACACCAATGTGTGTAAAGCTACTTTCCTTCTTCCTCTTCCTCGTGCAGCCCCCACACACTGATAGTTAAATGAGAAAAAAAAAGTATCTCTAGATCCTCAAATCAGTCAAACAGGCAAAATATCCAACTAGATGATAACAGTGAAGCAACCAACAGCTCTGTGCAGGGTTCCTCAATCATGGCAGCAAGTCCCTCTGACCATGGACAACAAGCCACAAGCCCTTTCTCACCCCAAAATGCCTGTGACTGGAAGAGGAGCTGAAGTTGGGAAGCAGTTGGGGAAGGAGCACAATGCAATTTGATATGAGAAATCCAAACCACGGATTCTGGACTTTCTCAGATAATTCCTATCTTGCCTGCACATTCCACAAGTTCTGCCTGGAAGCACCTGACACAAAGAAATAAAACAAGATGACAGTGAAAGAAACTGTTCCTTTTCAACAGATCTCTGAAGAGCACAGATAAACTTCTAAAGCACGTGTTTCGTGTGCTTAGCTGACCATGAGTATCTTTAGGATGCTCCACTCCTTCCCTGATTTGAACAGTGAATGCACAGCACTGAGCAAAACAAAGCCATTGGCCTCAGGGGGTTTTACTGGTGGAAAAAAGACGAGGAAGTGCAATAGCAGACCAGGGTGAGAGGAAGTGTGTTGTAATAGGCAGTGAATCATGTTAGCTAGGGGTGCTAAAATCCTCCCCTCTTGTCATATGAGTCTGATCAAGGCTCTGAAACCAAACTTCTCAGGGCAAAACCATCCACAGTTGGCCGAGCCTCCCCAGAAGGTGATTCCTGCACTGAAATAACACAGTGCTGGGGAAGCATGTTTAGGCTCTTTTATTTGGTTTGGGACCCTTGTGTGCCCCGTGTACCCCATGTACAGATCCCTTCCGTTCAGGCTCGTCTGAGAGCTGGTTTTCTGCTCTGCAAAAACGCTCAGCTGGAGCTGGGGTTCTGGTGCTGATGCCAATTAGGATGGAAGAGGCCCAGCTCGCGGGGTCCTGTATTTGTTTTGTAATTGAGTTGAAAGGGCTGACTCATTCCCCTCCACTCTGTCTCCCCCCTCTGCGAGCTTATGAAGAACACAGTATTTCACAAATACAGACAGGCTGCTGAGTGCGGCTGCCCCAGCCCCCCCGGCCCCAGATGTGTGTGCTGCCCTAGATGTGTGTGCTGCCCCAGATGTGTGTGCTGCCCCCACAACTTGTGAGAAGGTGCTGATGGGGGAAACCACCCCCACATCACGCTCACGAGATCTGGAGCAGCTTTAGAGGTGAGAGCACAAACTGGGGTGTCTGCACCCACCTATTCCTGGGCATCCTGCTCCCAGGGACATGCCAAGGCTGGGCCATGTTGCACCTCATGCACCTCATCCACCTTCCCCAGCCTGAATTACCTTCATTTTTTTAATGTCTAAAGACATTTATAGTATTCCTCAACACCACCCTCACTGCATGAAGGCATGCTGCTTTTGTAGGACATCCTCTCTAATCCATGCATTAATAAAGAGGATGGGGAGCACTGCCTGCCCCACTGGGGGAGGTTTTTGGTGATTTGTTTAGAAGCAAAAAGGTTTGGGTGCTTTTTTCCATCCCCATACCGTACACGTCAGGGTGTGGTTAGAAGCAGAGGGACTGAAACACTGCAAAGGAGTTAAGACATTGTTAGCCTCAATCCCAGGACTAAAAAGGAGGTATTTTGCCCAGAAATTGGTTGTGCAAAAACACAAACACCCCACTCCCAAAACACCAGGCCCGAGAAACAGCGTTTGGCTGAGTAGAGCCAGTGAGATCAGAGAAGGACTGAACACACATTTAAACTTTGTGGGTTGAAAATTTCTTAAGTTGGGGAACATCTGAGCTTTGTTCATTGTCAGTATCTCTTCCTACAGAGTCAGAGGGCTCCTATTCTGATGAGGAGTATTTGGATATGACCTTGTCCCAAGGCTGAGCTGAGACTTTGGTGATTAGTCTGGGTTATTTCTCAATTTCTCCACATCTATTAGCTCATCCCTTGTCACAAAAAGCCCCAGGGGAACAAACCTGGCTCTTGATGAGATCATCATCCCTCTGGACGTGCAGGATGTGGCCCCTCCTGCAGCTCACGTTGCACTGGGCCCCGTTGTACCAGCCACTGGTGCAGTTCAGCACTGCGTTCTCAATCTCCAGCTTCTGGCAGTCCGTGGCTTCACAGGAGTAGTGGACACAGCTAGGAGGGGTACAAGAAGTGGTATTTTTAGTGGATTCATTTAATTCATCTCACAAGAACAAGTGTGTCTGACTGACAGACTGGTCGCTCGGAGAATGCGCCGAACCCAGTCCGGCAAAGGGCTCCACACCCTCTTGTTACGTCTCCAGAAGGACGGGGGCAGTGGCAACAGCGAGGACAGTGAAGGCAAATTACAGGTCTTGTGGCAAAAGGGAAGAGCCTGTCAATTCTGCAGAACTGCTTTGTGTTCTGCAATATTCATCTGCGCTACGACCTTTCTACTCCTGTCCCATCATCCAACCACCCATCCATCCATCCTGTGAAAGCACTTTCCCTCCAAGAGCAGCCCTTATGCCCCATCCAATTTCAAATCTGCTGAATTCAGGAGTGCCTGATATTGGTGGTGATAAGTGCCTGTGTGCATGTGTGAGGAGGGGTTTCTGCGACAGACACTCTTATCTTCGAGAAACTCGATTGAAATCATCACATTCATTTTATTCCACTTCATGAGGAACACCAAACATCAGCTGTGTAGCTGAGTTGATAAGCTCTTATCAAGCTCAGCAGCATGCTGTCATTTCAGATCTCTCCAGTTGCTGTCCTGCCATCCATAAAATGTTTCCCCGGATGGAAACTGTCTGTTCTCCCTCCAGAAAATTATTGTAACATTTAACATGACTTGTTAAAAGGGATTCTTGTTTTATTTTTATGTACACAGAGATGTCTGGTTGACACAAAATCTTTCACCATCTCTGATGACCTGAGTCAAACATCATAGCACTTGTTCAAATATGAGTATGGGGCAGTCCCTCAATTAAACAGCAGTGAAAATGCTGAGGGTCTGAGAGCATGAGGGGAGATTTAGACTAGATAGAAGGAGGAAATTCTTTTACAGTGAGACTGGTAAAACACTGACACAGGTTGTCCAAAGAAACTGTGGATGCTCCATCCACAGAAACATTCAAGGCCAGGTTGGACAGGGATCTGAGCAACCAGACCTAGCTGAAGATGTCCCTGCTCACTGCAGAGGGGTTGTACTAGATGGTCTTTAAAAGACCCTTCCAACCCAAACCATTCCATGATTTTATATGCAAAGGCTTTTTCTGGATTACAGACAAAATTTCTGGGGTTAAGGACTCCTACAAGGTGATATGTTTTGGCTGAAAATGAAAATGAATTTAATTTAAATAGAGTTAAATTAGATCTGAAGAGGGGAAACACTACTTATTTCAGCATCCATGTGGGTAGGGAAGAACCTGAAATGCAGAAAATTACAGAAAGGGAAAGCAAAGCATCAGTACACATATTTTGAAATGGTTTACAAGCAAGCTATTCCTGTGTCCTAGAAAAAAGGGTTAACAACCACCAAAACCCTTTCCAGCTTAGTAAGCCCTGACTTAGCACGTACATGGTGTTTTGCTGTGTTCAAAACACTGTGCAGACATTATCTAATTAATTTTCATTACACCCCTGCGAGACATCTGGGCTGGTATTGTTATCCCCATGTTACTGATAGAGAAGCACATCTGCACATGTCTCTACTGAGCTCTAGATCAGATTAAATGACAGCATTATGTACCTCCACATCTCATTTCTCTGTTCCAGGCTAGTGCTATATGGGAAGTGCCCACTGCTGGTAATTTAAGGTTGCTTGTTCAGTGACGGCCCTTCCTTGGTGTGTGATGAGCCATAAACCATTTCTACATTTAAAAAGATCTTATTTCCTCATGGTGCACTAAAGTATGGCCACTGACAGGACTGAGGGAGGAGAATTCCACCTCTGTGTTGGCCACCTCCATACCTCTGTATGCAGCAAACAGCGCCCTGTCCATCAGCACCACAGCCCTGACGCTCATCTCTTCTGCAGAACGAATCATCCTTTCCCAGAGCTGACCTACCCAGAGTGATCCTGCCTCCAAGGAGGATCCCCACCCACCAGACCAAGGGTTTCACATGTTCTCCAGTCACTGCAGCTCACAGCCTGACATACTGCCATGGATTTCACTTCATACTGATCAATAGGACTGAGGATGAAATGCCATAAAAGCAAGTAGGCAGTATATCCTCATGCCCAGATGGGCCTCACTGAAGGGAAATGAGGTGAGGAGAACAGCCACGTGCAATTGCCTTGCAAATGCCCAACACAGGAGTGTGAACTCCAGACTTTGCTCTGTTTCGGTGGCAGCTCCCCGAGCCCTATTAATCTGAATTACAAACCTTAACAACCTCATGGCACTGGCAGCTAAGTCCTCAGTTGACATCAAAAAGAATATCTGAAGTTGGCTTTTGAGTGAGAGCATAAGATGATGAATGATGTGTTGTTGAACCCTCCCATCATGTCCCAGTCCCACTGACCCATGAAGGTGAAATCTCACTTTGCCCCCCTCCATTTTTCGGTTGGTGAGGCTGCAATAAAAGTTCCTCCCGTGCCAGGGCTTCAGCAACAAGTAAGTTGACTCATTGAGGAAAAAAGCAAGCACTACTGCCAAGCCACTCTTCTCAGAAGTACATATTGCAAACCTTGACTGCCCATTGCAAAACTCCCTCAAAATCTGAAAACCGTCTTCCACTAAAGTTGGAAAAATAAAATAATAGCAGATTTATTTAATCTAATACTTATGTGAATTAATGTGGCACTGAATTTGGCCTTGAATGGCTTCAGAGGGAGGGCTGAGCCTAAGGAAACCTTTGCAATTTGCACGGAGGGAAATCTGGAGCAACGTCACCGCAGTCAGTGGCATCGCTTTTCATTTCCATCAATGTAAAGGCGAAAAAGAATCTGGTTTCTTGAGTTCAGATCAGGACACCAGATGAGCAAGCCTGGGCTTAAAAGTCCTACAGAACTGAAACACCAGAGACAAAGGCATTAAGAAACACTTATTGTGATGTTCTTCTTTCTGTTTACAAGTCCCCTTGTGGTCTCCTGAAATGGCCAGGGAACATTTTTAGCCACCCCCTCCAGGCTCCAGATTATGCCTCGGTTAGCAGATCATCTGGGCAGCTCTCTCTGTCTGTAACTCTATATGAATGACTTCAGTGACAAACAATACAACCATTCACTTTTTGCAAAAAAACAACCACTGCCACCAAATGTTTCCAATTTAAATATTTCTGGTTCTCTAGCTACTGGTTCCAATTTGGTATCAGCTACTGTCAGCCATAAATCCCAATGAATTTTGAAGTCACGATCCTGAATTGAGTTCTGCAAATGCAGAATTAGGAAGGAGAAATTAATATCTCCAAGTAGGAAGTTTAGACAAAGAACCCATCACATCCATTTGTGGATTACAGAAGCTCTTGCATGGATACTGCCATTTAACAGTGGTCAATCATCACATGTTCCAGAAACTGTGCACTCCTCGGGAAAGAAACAATATAAGAGTATCTGAGAAGGAAATCACTTAGGCTTTAACTCATGTTGATTCCTGGCGTAGGAGAGTTTATCCTGTTTTCTCACAATCAATATTGTATGACTTCATCAAAGCTGCCTGTTTCAGGTCATCCCTGGTCTATCCTAACTCCCCTGAATTCCTGGACCAAAGCTACACAAGGGACCCAAGGATCACTCTAACAATTTACTTGAACAAGTGTTGGTGTCTGGGATATTCCCTGACAAGTGTTTATTTCACTAGGTCCACTTCAGGATTCACTTGTTCCTTCCCCTGGCAGTGTACGATTTCCCAAAACAACATCTTCACACCGAGGCGGGTGCAAGGAGCAGTGGATTTCTTGCGCACATTCCATTGCATGTTAAAAACAGATCAAGGCAGACTGTTTCAATGAAGTAAAAAGCCCTGAACCGAGTTAGCTTCACATGTAGGCTGAAGTTCTGAGCCAGTTCTTTATTCAGATCCATTCTGCCCATCCCTAAGCTAAACGAGCTCAGCCATTAGGCTCTAAATCTGTATTTCTTTGTGCCAATATTGGCCCCAGTTCAGCAAGGCACTTAAATATGTGCTTAACTTCAAAAGCACAGTTAAGTCCCACTGATAGATTTGACTAGAGGGGGATGTAAGCAAATCGCTGAGGGCTTTGCTAAATTGGGGCCTTAGTGACACAATCCTAGAAACATTTGTATTTTAACATGTTTATAGAAAATTATAACAATTAAGTGGAGCTCTTCCTTCCTCACATAAAAACAATCCAGGACTTCCTCTTTCAAGAAGCTTACAGCAGCCAAACTTTCTTTTCCTAACCCTGGGGTCAAGCACTTTTCCAAGAACTCATCTTAACATGGTGCCTTAATTATTTGTTTCCTCCATGAGAGCTCTGACACACAGATATGACAGGTGAGCATAAAAGCTCCCTTGTTATGAGAAGAGCCACACTGTTATCTCTTGTATATGGGAAAAACTCCTTTTTTGACACTCTGGGACAGGCTGGACTGGAGATCTGAACTGCAATTTGGTTTTGTTCTAAGCCACCATACATTCAACTCACACATGTGTAGCCTTCTGAGGGGGTTTCCCAACAGATTTATCCTTACAACAGGTCTGTATTCTCCTCTCTAGAGGTTCCTCTAAAGGCAAGAGCGGGTTCTTTCTCTCTAAAACAAATAAAAATGCAGTATTTTGAAAAGCAGATGGTGCTAGCCCCATTCCTTGCTGTAGAAATAAGTAAAAAAAAAAAAAAAAAAAGTATGAACTGCAAAGGTGGCAATGAATTTGTCTTTGTCAGTGTTCAGCTAAAAGACATCATCTCTTTGTATTAACACAAAATCTCAAAGAATGCCTTTCCAAATCCTGAGGGCTGGGTGGGAACTGGTGAACCTGTGCCACTGGAAAGGATCAAGTCTTTTCCTAAAGAGATATTTGCCTTCAAATCTGGTGTCATGAGAGCGACCAAAAGGATGGTATCACCTATGGTCCTTCTGACAGCAAAACCCCAACTTCAAACTGAAAGAGTCAGAATGCAGCTAAACACAGAGATTTACAGAAAATACTCCCTCCAACCCCAGGTAAGCTCTGGGGGAAGGAGAAACACGAGCCAGCAAGTCCCCACCAGCGTCAGGGCAAATCCTCCTCAGGGACCAGCTCTGCCTCCAGCCTGCCTGCCCCCCGTTGTGTGAGTTGTTCCTGCCTGGGGGGGTCCATATTGAACTGATAAAGCTCTCAAAGCCCCGTCACCCTGCCAGCTTGCAAGTGGGACTGTGTCCCTGGGCGTTTGCAGCCCCACAGGTCTCCCTGCCAGAGTCTGTCCAGGCAAACAAAGAAAACGCATCGCCTTCCACTTTAATAAAAGCCAAATGATGCCGTTTGCCAATTACCAAAACGGGGCGAAGGTTAAAAACCCATTGAATTATAACACATGTCACGGACCAAAGCTTCTATGATTAACAGTTCTGTGAGAAATTCATTAATTTCACCCGAAGCAAGCTGACAGAGATTGTGCTTAATGACAGAACGCAGGGCAGGGGGAAGGCGGCCGAGCAGGGAAAGAGAAAGCTGCATTAATTCACAACAAAAAGAGACGAGGAAACCCTTTTTTTCCCCTTATAAAAAGGAGAAGGAGGGAAAAAAACCAAAACAAAGCAAAACAAAAAAAACACACAGCAGGAGTTGTAAAGAGCGGTTGCATTTGTTCTGCGGCTGAAGATTTATCTTCATCATTTCTTGTTGGGGAAGCAGACAGCAGGAGAGAGCAAGACAAAGAGAAGAGCAGGAGTGGGCTACGTCTCCCTGGGGCTTGTTTGGGGCAGTGAAGGGTGAAGCTTGGAGGATGGCTTTCCATGGAAGCAAGGGGCAGGCAATGGTGTGGTGGCCAGGGGTGGGTCTGGACCCCCCCCAGGTGTCAAACACGCGGGTGTGCACATGCATGGAGGGGGGCAAACCCAAAATCTCTCCTGCAGAAGCAATTTTGAAGCCATAACAGAGAGTTCGTGCCAAGATTTAACCAAACAAAGGAAAGGGAAATCTTTTTGCTGCGCTGTCTAGAAAGCACAAGGTGCTGTACCGTATGGGGCATGAAGACTGGAGAGCTGTGGGCAGCCTGTGGGGTTTGTTTTCAGTAGGAACACGGAGTTAGTGGGAGATTAGGAAGATGGAAACTCCTGAAACTCACAATTCTGACAGCTGAATTGGGGTGTCTACCTGGGCTTTCATCCCTCCTGACTGCAGTTTCCAGGAGAGAAGCAATGGCACCAGGTGTGATGGAGAAGAGGACAGGTCTGGTGACCACAGCAGGGAAATGCCACGGAGGGAAAGCAGCACTTCACAAGAACTGCCCTGCCAGGGATGAGAGATCCCCCCCAGGGATGTTTCTTACCCAGTGCAAAAGACAAAACCCTGACTTTTGAAAACTGCTCTCAAAGGCAGCTTCGGTGCACCAGGGGTGGGAAATTACACCTCTGCTTCTTCACACCCAATTTCACCGTCCACGCCACAAGGCTGCACAGGAAATCATAAAAGTATAATAATTTGAGGTATAAAGTGGAAGAGAAGAACTACCTAGGTCTGAGGATGAAATGTGGAAATAAAGCCTGTCATTTTTACAGCACATCTCCAGCCGTGAGGGAAACTTCTGCTGAAAACGAAAAAAGAGCCCGTGGTCAGTGGCAGCAGAAAAAAAAAACAGCAGATGGGGAGTACAGAGTAGGTTTTTTCTCAAACTCTCTATAAATGTCTATAGGAGGATGGAATGGATTTTCAAAAGAAGTAATGATGACTGAGGGTACCTATAAAGTTCAATGAGACTTTTACATTTAAGCTCCTTTTTCTCTAAAATATTAACTAGAATACATAGTTCAAGAAAGAAGAGTGAGCACATGTTTTATTTTCAGTTATTAAGTTTTCACTAACCCATGGGAGGGATCCATTCACCTTCAAAATAAAGGCTGTGTTAACTTTTAAGGGTCGATATATTTCTTTTCCCTCTCAATTTTAAAATCTGCACCCTTGCCTAGAAGTGTCTGTATCTGGCTATAAATCCTCTCCAAGCAAAATAATTCTCCTTGAACAGAGAGAAATAATACCTCTTGTAGAGAGAAGCCAAAAGCAGGCAAAAATATCCATGTTGACCTAAGGAAAATGAAAGCAGTCAAATTGATGCTTACACATAGGAGGGAAAGTTCCTTTAAAAATTAAATAAATACTCCAAAAATCATATTAGGCAAATGCAACCAGAGGGGAAAAGGGGAGAAGGGAAGGATTGGCAGTATGGAACTGGCACTCTAAGGATGGGGAGACCATGAGCACAGGAGGCAGAAAACCCTTATCCAGCTTCTCAGCTGGTTAAGAATAACTTTTAAAAAAATCTCTCCTGTGTTCTTCCTGGATTGGGTAAAACATCCAAGGAAAAGGACAGCAGTGACAGCAAAGGTGTCACCTAAATTTCCTGGCTGCACAACTTAATGCACAGCTCAGATACCTGAATTGCTTGGAGTTTCTTGTACAGAAGAAAGCAGACATGGTCACCTCAAGTGATCTTATCACAGGGCAAATTGGGGATTCTGCACTGTAAACTGTCACCAGTGGAAAAATCCCACTGTTTTCAATGGCCTTTGCATCAGGGCTTTACTTCAGAGAGTTTCGGGTTCCTTGACAGACATGGGAAACTTTATGACGAATCCAGAATTGAAATGTTCCTTTGAACAAGTGAGGCTCGGATGAAAGTTTTTGAGAGCAAGGGGCTGAGAGGGTTCATTGCATCCTGAAAACAAAACGATGCCAAAAAAAAAAAAAAAAAAAATCAAGAAGAAGAATAAGAGGGAAAAGGCGGGTGATTCTTCCCCAAGAGATTTCTAAAGGTTGGTTTGCTGGGCTGCAGAGGCTCACTGAAGCTTTGCCTTAGGGGAATGCATTTTTTATTAAGGAAATAACTTTCTAAACACAGAGCACTTCTAATTCCATAAGTGAACAAATGGTTCAATTCCTACTGAAAACTTGAGAGGGAGGAGGAACGTGGTCCTGTGTCTCAGCCCTCCCAAGATCCCTGTTGCTTCTCACCATCTCCTTCCAGTGGGTTTTTCTCACTCTTTTTCTGTCCCAGTCCTGCAGTGGGAATTGGCCAAACTTCCACAACCAGACTTCTCATCTGAAACCTGATCCTGCTGTCTTTGGGCCTCTGAATTTAAACAACCTATTGCACAGAATGATCAGACGCCTCGAATCTAGGTCAGAACACACTGACTGGATTGATTTAGCTATAGATATGCTCTTCTTTTTTTTTTATTTTATTTTTCCTTCCCTCTCTCCCTTCTCACCCTCCCACCTTTCCTGGAATAAAAGCAGGCCCTCAAAACAAGCCAGAACATTATCAAAAAACCTGACAGCTTGCTTAGGAGGCTGAGCAGAGGTTTGCTGGGATATGCAACTTGTTTTACTATTGCTGCCGCTATGGTATGACGACTGCTCACAACTTTGAATTCACAAAGGAAGAAAAAAAATTATTCTTTCAGGGGTTTTGCTAAATTCTCTCCTCTTCTTTTCACTGCCTCGCTGAAAGGATCCATGAAGCTGCCGCACCAGAGGCCAGGAAAGGTCACAATCTCTGTGGGATGCTGTAAAGCAGAGACTGAGAGGGGTTGGTGGTGATCTATTGATGTGTCTGTAATAACAACAAGAATAAAACGGTAGCCATAAACCTTTCATCCTGGGGGGTCCCACAGAGCTTTTCAGAGCGGGGGGCCGGATCCAGAGGGGTGCTGAGGGTCCTTGCCCGGCCGTAAAGGCCCTGCAGATTGTCGATGGCCACGGATCTGCTGAGCACCTGGCAGGATCCGGCCCTGCCGGGGCACAAGCATCACTTTGTCTCTGCGCAGTCCCTTCCGTGGGAGGTCCCCGTGGCCCTTGGGCAGCACAGAGTGGTTCGGGTCGGAGCGGTGTGTGAGCGGCCAGAGCGGTGCCGGGCTGGGGAGCACACGCAGAGTTAACTGGCCCCCAGCTCCGAGCTCGGGATGAAAGAGGGGAGGAGAAAGGAAGAGGAAATAATTCACTAACGGCATCCCCCGTGCGGGTTAAATGTCCCATCCATCCCGATCAATGAGAACACTGCCGGGGTTTTTCGGCGGCCACACAAAAGGGTCAGCAGGGCTCAGCTGCTGTGCCCCTCCTGCCTCCCCCTGACCCCCGGACGGTGCGGGGGGCGGTGGGTGGCGAGGCAGAAGGAAGGGGATGACGGGCTCACCTCTGCTCCGCCGGGCTGTAGGTCTGTCCTCGCTGGCAGCTGCTGATGGTGATGGGGTCGAAGTTGTGGAAGGAACGCAGGGCCACCCCGGAGATGGCCACAAACTGGGAGCTGAAGCTAATGAGGACAGCCTGGGTGTGATAAAAAGGGTGACTGAGGTCATGGATGACGGGGATAATCAGGGGATTGTTCCTGCAGCTCAGGACGTGGACACCTGCCAGAGGAGAGACAAGATCAGAGGAAGGGTCAGACTTAACACAATTGCTTCCCGAAGCCGTGGGCACTTCAGAGGCATTTCACCCATAGGAATGGCCCTATAGAGCTGAAAAGTTATAGTAAGCTGCCTGGAGGGGCTTCTCAAATCACTCTGGAGATCTTAGTGGAGAAGTATATCCCTCCAGACAGCTGAAGAAAGGCTGCCATTCTCTCCACAAGCGCGGCACAGGCTCTCAGAGCCGTTTCTTTAGACCATAGCTACGTTTCTATTGTGCCCCGTTAAATCAGGAGCAACCATCATGGAGGAAGCGGAGTTGCACTATTGTCAGACTGGTCTGGGAGAGGACAGTTGGAGCCTTTATCTGGTGCATCAAACGGTGCCGGCAGGCTGGGTGGCTTTGTGCACCAGGGGCAGGGCACCAATGGCTTGTTTGGAGTTGTGCATGTCATTAGCACTCAGTGGTAAACTCCTCTGCTTGAGCTCTACACAAAATGTGCCCACTTTTTTTTTTTTTTTTTTTTATACGGTTTTGAGCCTTAGGTTATCTTGCTCTTGGGTGGAAAAGGCAAAGATGGTGCTGGAGAGAGAAATGAGGGTGATGGTCCCACTGAGGATTTTGCAGGGGATCTCACTTGAGAAGGAAACAGTGCCTTGGGAAAATAAAAATGTCTCAAGGTTGAGGTGCACAGAAACACCAGAGAGCTGGCAAGGAGACTTCTTAATCCTTTTTCTCCAGCAGACGAGGCACTCAGTGAGAGCTGGGGAGAATTTCCCACCTTCAGGTAGAGGCAACCTGAATTCAAATGGGCCAGATCCATCTCGGGGGGGTAAGGCAGAGGACAGACAGGTGTCTGCTGGCCTCAAAATTCATTAATTGAGATTTATGGCCTGACACTGCCTGCAAAGCCCGGCCTCTGCAGCTCCGTGGCATCACTCCGAGGATCAGCTTGGCTCCAGATCCATTTGCTTCACTGGAGCTCCCCCAGCAATGGCTTTGGCCCAGGCCCTTTGGCTACCCTGACACACTTACAAATTTGAAAATAAAGTAAACTCTATTTGCATGTTTAACTGGCTCAGGGATTTCTGTTATTACTTTTTTTTTTCCCCCCAGTTCGGATTTCTTGACTCAAAGGGGGAAGAATAAAAAAGTTTTCATTTTTCTCCTTAGAAAGTGATTTCCTGTGAATTAAGACAGACTTTTTTACCACGCTCTTTAAAACTTTTATCTCCCACCCTCTACTTAAAAAAAATCTTCCTGTAATAAAAAAAAAAAAATAAAAAAAAAAATTAAAAAAGCAACTCTCTTTTTGTTTTGGTCTTCACCTGACCCTGGAATAACCTCCCTGTCTACTTGCCTCCCACAGGCCTTTTGATATCAGCTCCTTGTGGAACGGTGCACGTTTCTCACTTACAAACAGGTGCAGTTAATACTCAAAATCCCGGGTTCCCAAATTCCTTGGAAGTTTCTGCCTTCTCTGATGGAAAGCCAAGAAAGAACTTATGGTATGAGGCTGTTTATTCACTTCCATTTCATTCCTCGCTCTCAGGTGGTGTCCACAACCAAACAGACCCTCAGAGCTGTGCTGCACTTGCTGCTGCTTTCTGACCCACACAGGGTAAATGGGAGCTCAACAGGGTCATGCAACTCACCTGCCTTCAGGAACTGAAGACCTCTCGTGGTGACCATGCAGGGGATCAGAGCTGCCTCATGATCACTCCCATTTCTGGAGCTCTGCACCCACCTGTTTGATGCTCAGCAGCTGAACCCTGTCTACAATGGCTCTGAACTAACAGAGCTGAAGTATTTGGCATCCCAACCTTTCCATTTCCTACCAAGACTCAGAATAAGCTTCACATTGTTTTCTGGGAGTCCACATGGTAAAAACTTGTTCTGATCAAGGTGAAACTGCTGGTCTGGATAGGATGTGTTTTGCTCATGGGGGTGTCTTTAGCACACTGAGGATTGATGGAGCTTTAAATTATTGCTAGTTCCTTTTGGATGTACTTTTAGTTTGCCACTATTTTCTACATAAGACTGATGACTGTCTGAAGTCAATCCTGTACCCAGTGCATGCCAACACTTGCACCTCAGCTGCAGTTTCCAGCTTTCCAAGGTGACAATTCAAACACATGAAATACAATATCCAGGAAAAGGACTTAATGCCAGAGCCAGAACTCAAGACAAAACAGCAATGGGGATCTCTGCCTGAGTGAGAACTGCTGGGTTGCTGGGTAGCCTACCTAAACCTCTCCCCTGCCCCAGGCAGCCTCTTCTGAAAGGTCAGAGGGGCTTTTCCATGATGAAGGCAGCACTTCTGAGGATGTCCAGGCATCAGGATGAGCCCTGCCAAACTTATGTTGCAACTTCATTGAGGATTTCAAAACCTAACCCTTAGTTTCCTCTTTGCTCCTCTTTCTTGTTCTCTTCATCTCACAATCTGTCTGTGTGTCCCTATAAAATGTCACATTAAGTATTTGTTGGCAGCTCGTGTCTCCATCATTTATTTCTCAGAGGGAAAGAGTTATGTGCCACTGTTTTGCGAAAGGAGGAGGATAAGATTAATCAAAGGGCTCTGGCAAACTGGGAGCTATCCTGACTCAACCTGCACAACTTGCTACAGATCTCAGTTCATTCTTGGACAACCACACATATTTTCTTTCTTTTCCTCCACACCCCATCAAATTCCGTATTATCCTGGATACTCATCCAACAACTGTCACTGTGTGTGTCTCTTCTAGCAGGAAGCTCATTTGAGTTTCAGCTTGTCAAAACTGAAAAGTTAAAATAAACCAGAAAGGTGGTGGGTGGGAGTTGTGTTTCCTTAAAAACTGCTCTTGGGGTGACCTGGCCAGCTTTTTTCTCAATGGAAAAAAAAAAAAAAAAAAAAAAAAAAAAAAAAAAAAAAAAAAAAAAAAAAAAAAAAAAAAAAAAAAAAAAAAAAAAAAAAAAAAAAAAAAAAAAAAAAAAAAAAAAAAAAAAAAAAAAAAAAAAAAAAAGCAGAGAACAGCAGGAAAGGGATTATGCAAGTCCTGCCATGACACAGAGTTGGGAGCTAGGGAGAGCTCCTTGGTCCTGGAACTTAAATGCAGCCTGAATCAATTCACCAGACACAACTTCCCTAGGTTCAGGGCCCTGTGCCAAGGGTAGAGACAAAAATGGTCCATCCTGGCACTTCAGCACAACTGCAGATCTGCAGCCTCTGTCAGGCACCTCTGCCTGAGGCCACACCAGGGCCCTGGTGTTAGACCTTCATCAGACCTGAAATACTTCACATGAAGAATGCTGGCCACTAAATAGCTGTGGAGACCTCCCTGCTGCAAGACTAGAGATCACCCAACCCACCCTGTGAGGCAGGAGTGTTTTTTGCAGCAGCAGCTGGAGCATGTCCCTCACTCCCTGCTACCAGGGGTTCATCTGTATCACCATCAGTGTCTCTCCAGGGCAGTGCTGGTGTGAAGCACTGAGATAGTGCTGATTTTAATGATTAAAAAGGAGCTAATCACTTCTGAGCACACATTGAACAGCTATGGAGAAATGTCTGCATAAAATGATGCATCATATTCAACAGACTCTAGTGAGACTCAGGGCTTGGAGCATTAAACAAGCACATTTTTGTCTAATTCTGAAAAAAAAACTGAGCAGGAGTAGTGGTCAGTTTGTGAACAGGGGTATCATCAGACTAAGCAAGCAATAAGGAGGGAGTTTAATAAAATACAGTCTTACCAAGATCGTGGCTTTGCTCTTTGGTGTCAAACAGCTGCACACCGATGGTCTCCTGCTTCTGATCCAGGTAGTAGGTGCCGTCAGTGACCAGGTGAACTAGGACTGCTGCAGCTACCATAGGCTGGGAAAAATAAGCCTGGGAAAACAAAAAAAACCACAAAGCCTGAGGTGGGGAATTGTGGTGGGCTTTAAAAAAATCCCCAGGAGTCAGTCCAGGGCTTTTAAAAGGGCAATTCCCATCCCAGGTCACACAGAAATCTTCCCTTCCAATCTCTCCTACACAAACTAGATAAACTAAAGTCAAACAGCCCTGCAGCTGTAACCCCTCAGAAATTCAATAGCCTCGTCACATGGGAGGGGACTTCACCACTGGAGTCTCCAGACATTGCTCAGAGACATTGTTTTGCTGTTTTGCTCCAAACATACTTCAAAGAAAGGAGCAGCCTCGGTCCTGGGAAGGCTTTCCCAGTGATATTTTGCCTGTTGAAGAAATGTTGTGCAGGCAGGCAAAGAGGAAGCTCCTGAATGACATGTGCACTTCCTACCTTGAGCCAGAAAATGGTCTGTGTCATGTGGGAGTACTGGAAGTTGGCTGTGCAGGGGTACCAGGCGTACTGGGAGACACCATCGTTCAAGTCAATCACCTTAGTTCGACACATCTGGAAACAGAAGCACCAAAACAGACACAGATGACAGTAAGGAAAGGTTATGACTCTTTAAAGTAGGGGGGAAAAAGTCCAGGTGCACTGCTAGAATAAAATAACGCACCATAACGATGCCTCTGAACACCTTGAGATTATTCAGAAGTTAAGTTTCCAGGTCTTCCACCTCAATAGGAAAAACTGAAATGTGAACAGGAGCTAAAGGCTCCCAGCAGCTGGATGGCAGCCAGCAGTGTCCTCTGGATTTGGTGCGAGGTCTTTGACAGCATTCAGAACAACTTTGCTCCCCACCCAAACGGATCACGGCTCTTCCCACTGGAGTCAAAGTGATGATCACTTCTGAACGTCCCAGCTCACAGCACAGACAGTCTGGAGATGCCTCCACAGGGCTCCAGCACTGCCCTTTTTAAACCCAGTGTTCCTGCAATCCCAGAGGAGTTAGAGATGGACATGTAGACTTGGTAGCCAGGAAAGTCCTGCCTCTACAACCCAATTTGAGCAAACTGGTTTCCTCTTTTGCTAACTCATTCTGCAAGTGGAATCACCTTCTTCTGTATCTTTCCATGGCAGGCAGCAGTGGGATTAGAAGCAAACTCCTCTTTTCAGTGAAGAACAAATAGACAAATCTCAAGTGAAAAAATCCCACAGGTGAAAAGCTCAAAGGAAGTGCCAGAATCTGAGTATCAGAGAGCTTTGCAGTGCCATCAGTGTGTAAGATGTGAAAATGAAGCTGGAAGGAATGGTTCAGTGAAGCTGCTTCAAGAAAAAAATGTGCTCGGCCACAGCCCTCACCCCCCCAGCAAACATGAGGAAAGAAATGTCCACCATGCAAAAAGTTACTCCTGCATTAGATGGATGATTCCTGCTGAGGCTCTGGGAGCACCTGAAGGGTGAACCTGTTGGGACTCACAACACTTCGGTGAACTCACTGACTCACCACTCATGGGGATAAGAGGGAATTCCTTGTGGGCACACAGAATAGTGGCAATGGAGCTACAACTGTAACCCAAGAGGCCAAAGCATCCCTGGAACTTGTGCTGACCACAGGACAGCCTAGGATGGATCCCACAGACTACCTGGGCTGGGTGCTAACAGGAGTAATATTGTCTTGGGGACCCTTTTAATTTTCTTTCCAAGACCAGAGCCTAAACTGAGCAATCAGGTGGCGATGTGCTTCAGTAAAGCTGTTCCCCTAATCAATGTCCCTGATTATTAAATCAAAAAGAAAACCCTGAAAAGAAACAGGAGAATTAGCAGAGATGCTTTTGACCATTCAAAATCCCGTGTCCACTCGATAACTCTGCATGGAAATGCCCTCTTGGAGACCAAGGCAGGCAAAGTCTGGGCAGTGCAAAGAGAGCCTGGGATGCCTGGGAATGAGAAACCAGATTGGCTGAAAGTGAGGTAATCCCCTCTATAATCTGAGTCCCTCAAGATCCAGCACAGAGGAATCTATGGGCAAAACATAAATCAGCTTTAATGGGCTGGAAGAAGATTTTTAGTTTATTTATTTTTTGAAACAACTGGGACCAAGCTTCATTGAGGCTAGCCAGTGGATACTGTTACATTTTACAGCAGAGCAAGGCTTTACATAAACTATCTTTGGCATTTGAAATCCAGGCCAGCAATTCGACATGTACCATTTCGCAACTCTCCCTTCTTGCGTTTTCAGCAGCCCGTCTCTTGTTGGGAGCATGGTTTTTATTTTAATACCTCTCCAGCCAGAGAATTTATCTTACCCACATCTGCAATTTATATGGGCAGAGAGCTCTTCGACATGAACAAAGGTCTCATTACTTTTATATGATTCTGTTCTTATTCTTACATCTCCTCCTGCTCTATTGGTCCAAAAAGGTGGCGGAGAGAAACACAAGTACTGACGTTCGGCGCTTTTTAAGTGCCACTTAATGGATGAGTGAAAACCTGCATGAAGAAATCACCCAGACCTTCACCAAAAACTTTGAATCAAACCCAAAATAAACCCCCGCTGAGGTGGGTTGGAAGTCTCTGATAACTTTTAAATGCCTTGTTTGGTTTGTGTGCGCGTGTGAGCTCCAGCACTTTCTGCTTCTGCCTGGGAATATTAGCAAAAATCTGGGCATTGCATAAAGAGCCTGTGTTCGAGCCACGTGAGCCGAGGTGTGTGGACTGTCAGACTGGCCTGGTTTGAACAGGTTAGATAAGCTTCCCCCTGCTGAGGCTGAGCCATCGCTACCCAGATAAGTGTTTCAAAGTGGTCCTGGGGTAAAAGGTTCTTTCAGAAGAGTATAATTGAGAAGTGTGGGAGAAGTCTAACAGAGATGAGTGGCTACAAGAGCCTCTTCTGCACTAGCTGTCAGCTAGTGAACTTAGCTAATGGCAAAAAAGTTCTTGAAGATTCTGCAATAACAATATGAGTGGATAAACAGTCCCTGTCACCTGCAGATTCCACCATTCCAACAGGCTCTAACATGCATGGTAAATACATCCCCACTTCAACTCTACCCAGGCAATGAGTATCACACCACCACTGACAAGTCTGAGAACCGTCTGCTGGGAGAGTTTGTCACACTTCTGCCCTTAAGGCATCCCTAGAATGTGGCAACAGCATGAAGGTCCATATTATTTAGGTTGATGGTTGGACTCAGTGATCCTACAGGTCTTTATTCTAAACTGAATGACTTTATGATTACTGCAGTACCACTTTTAAGCTACAAGTTCCGATGGCCTGGAAGGCAGAACATCATCTCTTCTCACGGCTATTCATAGGAATTCACACTTATAAGAAATAAATTATTTCCTAATGTACTCTCCAGTTTAGTACAGTGATGCAAAACAGCAGCTAAGGCACCTGACAGCTGTGGAGGGAAGAACAGATAGACATACTTCTCATTTCAGTGTGTTACCAAGCTCTAAACTATTTGCTTTGAAGAGTGACAGCATCATACAGGACTCCAAACTTCACTCACTGGGGCTTATCCAGATTCTCAGACCCACAGAGCGATGGGATCCACAGGAGCTTAGCGTGTGCTCCAAAGTATGCAGGGACTATTTGTGTCTAGTTACTGGAAGCCCATGTCATACCCCTCCCTAGGAAGCTGCTTTCAATTAAAGGAGCTGATGTCTGTTCCTCTCAGAGGTTCAAATCCAGCTCGTCTCCCACCCACACATTCTGTACACAAACATCGAGAGACAGAATGATCAAGGCCAGAGAGCACTGTGGGATCTTCCCACAAGAGGGAATGCCTGGAGGATTCCCTTTGACTGATTTATACAACCTCTTGTCAATCACAGGCACACCATGTTCTTCAAACCGCCTCTCCTGTTTTCCTCCTCTTACTCAAGGGGACCGAGGAATGTGTCAGCAGAAAGGGAAAAGTGATATATTGGGAGCACTTAGTTTTTTGCCACATCTAAAACACATTTACTATTGCAATCAACTCCATTTCCTTCAAAGTAATATGGGAAAATTTGCTAAAGAGCAAATTTTGGAAGGCGCCCTGGTGAATGATTCCCAGCCATCCCATGACTTCAGGCAATGTGAAGTTGGGTTGTCAGGCTCCTGCTGCAGCTGAACTCCAGGTTAAGGATCAGTCCTATGCACTGGGCACGGGAATAGGTCCTAGCCTGACTCTGCCCAGTGCGTGGCCCCTTCTGGGGGGTGCAACCTTCTGGGCAGCCCTTGGCTTCTCCAAGACCGAGCCCCCATCTGTCAGATGAGGATGATATTCCTTCATGTCACACAGGTATGTTGAGGGCTTTAGGCAAAAAAAAGTTGCTGAGATGTTACGAATAGAAGAGACAAACAGGCAGGTACAGGCGTGAGGATACCCCCACCACAGGAGTGGGTTAAATACAAACTGATGCCACCCCACACCGACCTTCCCATCGAGCGAACACAGCCAGACACCGCAGGCTCCTCATACACTGGTGGTTCTCGTCATTGTAACATCAAAATAATTCTAAATGCAGACAGGCAAAGCTGCTCTTCAGACGAGGATGCTGCCCTGCTCAGCTCTGGCACAGGGCTCACACCGTGGTTGGGGTGGACGTGCCTGTCTGCATGCCCAGGGGCGGCTGGAAACAGAGCAAATCTCCAGTGCACAGATCTGTCTGCTCCCAAAATCCCATCTGCTGTCCCGTGGTGGGGCTTCCTCCAGACCGTGTCTTCAAGCTACGTCTGGCTGAGAAGGGCCATCACGAGCCCTGCTCTGTCAGGCACTCGGGAACATCCTCCTTTTCGGAGAGGAGGGTGGAAGTGGTGATTGTGCCCCAAATGCTGCCTCTCTCCCCTCCTTTCTCCTGGGGGCTGTGCTGCTGTCACTTCTGCACCCAGACAGGCAACACAGGGAGTTTCTGGGTTGAAATGGGCTAAACCCTGTCCTGTTTGCAAAACAGCAGCCAAGGAGCAAGCGGGAACAGGATCTATTGGTAAAACTCCCCGTGGAGCACACGGCATCCTGAGTGAGGCTGCACAAGTGCACAGAAAAGCTCGTGGACTGATAAAAACCCATGGAGGCACAAACAGAACATCTTCTGTTGCTTGAGGATCCAGCTAAAAAAACAGACTTCAATGGTAATACTGAAACCTAATTAATCCACAATTTTTAGCTGACTGCTGTGCAGAATGTTATTTATACTTAACTCAACACGTGCCAGAGGATCCCAACCATGACATAAGCAGCATTTTAACACATCCATTACAGATGAAAACTTTCTCCATTACCAGACCAGGGGGCTGGCAGTCACCCAGACCTTTTATTCTTAAATATGCTATTGTTCTTGCTGACCTAAGGTTAATCTTACCCAAGGATGAGAAACTATGGTGCAGTTGCTAAATATCAGAAAGGTTCTTGCTTGTTTATTGCCCAGAATTGTAAGGCAGCTTGACTGCCACATGGACACCACCCAGTTTGCCGACTGCAGCACAGACCTCCAATCTGTTTTGAAAGCTGTTGCACTGCTCTTCTCATTTAGGCTGGGAACTGGGTTGGAGTTACAGAAAAATTAAATTGCCC